GTGCTAGCACCCTGGATCACTGTATCCACTACCTCTGCCTTTTCTGACAGAAGTTCAGCTGGGCTCTTGGATACCAGATCCCATATCAGCCCCTCCAGGAACACCATTAGGAGGACATTCGTGTTCGCCAGCCGAGAGGCCATGGCTGTAGACTGAAAAGCCTTTGCCACCAACCCATCCGTGGTGCGGCACTTCTTATTCGGATGCCGAGCAACCCTGCTGCCCGTGGAGGAGGCCCCACCCAACATCAAAAAGGTTGGACCTACCCTGGCCACACCATCCAGACCATGCTCTGAAGCCCCACTGAGGACACTGAGAGCAGAGCGGGGGGCAGGAGCATCCCTTGGTCGTGCCCATATATATATATATACATATATATATATATATATATATACATCGTTCAGTAGGTTCTAGCAAGATTACTGCACTTGCAAAACAAATTTTCTTTATTTTGTATAGTGTCAGATCAACCAGATCTGTGTGAGGGCCATTCAACTGGAAAAGACTGCACGCCGTAATACTGATGACCATTTGAGCGTGTTCATGTGTCTGATGGATTGTGTCATGCTGAAACACATCTGTGACTGTACGGTGGCAGAGGTGCGTCGGTGTGGAGCGGTGCATGGTTGCCAACACGACTCCGCCGTGCGCGATACAGAGAGCAGAGGAGAATTGAAACCATGTGCAGAAACGCATTTTGTTAGTCTTAAATATGAAGAGCTGTAAAATGTCACTAAACTAACAAATTTTGTTAGTTTTAAATATGAGGAATTTTTATATTGTCACTTCGATGAGGCTGTCAGTCAGTTAGTGAGAGATCACAGGCTGAAATTGGCATTTCATCCTCACATGCAGCCGCAACGATGGTCAAGCTGCACATAGCCTGCAGAGTGTAACTGAAAAGGAGTGAACTACATTCACTAACGCAACATAATGTGGTCCTGTTTATCTTGGAAGGTGAGAGAGCTCAAACACATAATTAGCATTACCATGAATCTTTTCATTCTTTCTGAATGGGTGAGTGTCTCCATCTGAATAGGTTTCCCACTCACTCAGATCAACACACTAAGTGGGCTATACGAACTTTTGATGCAAACATTCACACATCGTCCCTGTCGATGTCTGAATTACCACATAAAAGTGGTATTTTACAATTCTTCACATTATAAACCAAAAAAAATGATTTTGTCTCTTAATAAATGTTAATGTAATTAATGAGCAACTTTTCGAAATGATTTAAGTAATTATTTTCAGGCACAAAGTTATTTTCAGAACGTTTCTCATTATTCTGAGAGACTAAGTCAATATTTTTTTTTAGATAGGGGAGACCTGGGCCAATTGTAGCACCATTTTAGGTTTTCCTTAATAACTAATGCATTTATAAGACTAATGCTGCAGCAGATAAAGGTGGTCATTCTGTTAACTTAAATACTGCTGGGTGGCTTATTGTAACCTGCAATAATATAACAAATAAATAAACAAAAAAACAAATTTATATCATTGTACAAAAGTACTGTAACTAGTAGGCCAAACTAAATCTTTAAGATAAAAGTAGTGCAATAAAAGTGTAATATTCGCACCTGAGACAGTGGAGTAGATTAATAATGTAGCATAGAATGGAAATACTACTAGGTAAACTACAAGCACGTCTAAATCTTTGTTAGTTTTTGTGTTTCTGTGAGGGAAGCGCCATCTCATGGTGAGTGTGGAATCTAGGCATACCCCCAGAGAGGTGGGGGGGAATGGTATTTGCCTGGAAGTTGGCAGGCATCCAGAAGGCTTTCGGATGGCGTGGGAAATTTGAAGTGGCTGCATCTGTACATTAGCAAGGGCTGAGAGGAGGAGTGTTTAGATGGTTGCAATTTGCAACCTCACCACTAGATGCCACCAAATCCTACACACTGTCCCTTTAAGGTGCGTTCAGACAGTGAGAAGCAGCAGCAGCAAGGAGAAGGACGACAACTTCAATTCCGGTAAGTGTACTCACCTACTTTCAGTTGCATTTATAATGCCTGATGGTTTACCTTTTTCAACTGGCTGCAGTGGCTCACCATGTAACTACAGACCTGTACTGCGAAGCAGGGTTTGAAATTAGCTAAGTAACTTCAGGGTTTACCCTAGTTGTTGTTAGTAATACAAATCTTGTTCACTTTGTAACAGGATAAATCAACGTGGTAACTTATGCTTGAACAGCTATCCCACTCTGAAGCAGGTTACAAGCTGAGGATCAGTTGCTGGCCACCAGGCCACAGCAAAAGAAATGGGAGATGATATCAATCAATTCATATCAATATATAATATCTATAATATATGTTGGATTTAAATTTTAATCAGCAACACATATTTGGCCCTAACCCAGTCCAACTAATTGGGCTTTTCAGGACCCATCGGGCTCAGGTTGCAATTAAAAACTCTTCTGTCAATATCCCAACCACTGACCAATTACAAAAAAAAAGTAGCTTTTCTTTTCTTTTCGAGGTGAGTAGAATAATATTATTGTTCCAGGCTTTCTATTCCCACTCTCTTTTTCAAATAAAGTTTTCTTAGCATCGAACCAAATAGCAAAAAATGCTCACTCTTTAGGCTACTTAGCTGAAAATAATACTGATACATATTTTTTAAGTCTTGACCTACTTTGACTATTTAAAAATTATTTCTGGTGTTTCTACATCTTTTTATTCTGTTTTAAGATTACAAGCTATCGTTTGCTCCTAAAACAGAACATTCCTGCCAGTAAGTAGTATCACCATTTCATTTCTTATCATATGAATTAGGCCTACTTTATTCGTGGTTCTGATAATGTCACTCATAATAACAACCCTGCCCTGTTCACATGTGCATGCTCATGGCTGGATAGGAAAACCCATAGTTGACTGAGCTAGTTGATAACCAGCTTCATGATACCAGTAATCAAGACAAACAATGTTAGGGTTAGTGAAGCCAGATAACCAAAAGATATCCTAGGGATGTTGAACCTGCTTTGTAGTGCACAAGCCTGTTTCAGAAAGCAGGTTTTACAAACTCTGAGTCTAACCCTCAACTCTGAGATGACAAGTCCTGAGATGGAAAACTTGGAGTTTTCGGTTGCAGAAGAGCTGGGGGGTATTCCAGAAAGCGGGTTTAGTGAAAACTCTGAGTATGTTAACCCTGAAATGAGGGAAACACTGGGTTTTCAGTTCCAGAAAGAGAGTCAAACTCTGAGTCAATCACCATGGCAACTGACTCTGTGAACCTAACCTGCTCGCTGGCAGGTTTTCTGTAAGAAACCCTGAGTTCACCCTGTCTCCTCCCTTCTGCCGAGCCTGAAGCAAGCTGGCAGACACACGAGTTGTTGGTATGTAGGAAATCCCATCGATATCGAGGCAGAATTAATTCGCAATGCTTTACGCCGAGAGAGGATCTTCAGACCCCGTTTAGATGTGTTGTCTTTCCCCAATGAATATCTGTTTGAACGGTACCGTTTTTCATTAGGCTCAATCATTTACCTGCCACACCTATCAAATCTGACAAACTGTGGACGTGCACTCTCATCAGAGCAAATGTTGTGCATCGCACTACGTTGTCAACGGTATACATGATATTGGTGGCCTACAGTACATGATGACATAGCCACTGAATGACAGGTTATTTAAGCTACTTTGTTTAATAAATCAAATATGTATAAAACTCAAGAAAGGTACAGTCGTGGCCAAGTAAAATATGCCTTACCTGTTTGAATTATGTTTTTATAGCCTATTTCATTTTGAGCTGCTCTCAAGAGTGTTTTTCCCCTGTGAGATTGTACCTACATGAAAATCAGATTTTATTCCAAACCACTCCACCACCTTTTCACCTGTATGCTACGATTTTAATTAAGTGTGGTTAAATGTAAATTAATGGCAGGGCTCTCAAGTTTTGATGTCAGTTCAGAGTGAGATTTTTGCTGGGTGGCGAAGGGGGGGTGGGGGGGTTCTTGGGTATGATAGTTTTTAAAGGATTCAAATTTCAAATAAGTCATCAACCATCTATATGTGCTTAAAATAGCTGCTGAAATTAGCAAGTATTCTTTTTTAATATTTTTGGGGGGGGAATTTTGCCTTAAATTGACAGGACAGTTAAGCGTGAAAGGAGGAGAGAAACAAAGGGATATGGCAAAAGCCATATATATGGGATGCCTGCTCTACCCACTGAGCCACCAACATCCTGTCAAAGAGGATTCTGCTTGCTAAATTTCACATGCCGCCTCTCTCTCCTTGGCAGCTTTAGCGGCGTTACTTTTTTAATGAAATATATGCTCATATTCGCTGTAGGCATTCATGAGCACCTCCAATTCCACAGGTGTAAAATAAGTTGATCGCTTTTTCTCTCCAGTTGGTCCAGAGTAACAAACTTATATCCAACCACAATCCTGATTCTGACATAGCCTACAACAAAATTCCACTAATTAATGCACTTCAGTAATTGCTTTGATGCGGACTGAACCAATAAGAAAATGAAACAGTGTGTAGCTGGCAGAGAGACACTCAAAGTTTGTTAAAGAAACCTGCCAGCAAGCAGGTTAGGTTGACAGAATCAGTTACCACAGCCTCTTCCTCATCTCAGGGTTAACTCAGAGTTTTCACAAAACCGGCTTTCTGAAACAGGGCACAGGCCTAAGGGCAAACCCATACAACACAGCGAGAGAAACAATACAGCAGCTGATTTTTCTGCTAGCTTATCTGAGTTCAATAAATGATACACCTTTACACCAGCAGAGAGCAACAAAAAAAACCCTGCTGTACATGCAGAAAATTACCTTTTCAAGTTGACTCCAGAGAAAAGGAAAGCTTCATTTCCATAGTTACTGCCCCACCCCCCTTTTTATTATTAGTAATGAGCCTGAATTAGTTTTGTGGACAGTGAATACAGAACAGAGTGCAATTTTTCATTTCACATATACAAAGAAAATAAGAAAGATTGAAGCCACAGGATTTTTATTGTAGCAGGCTGGTAAAAAGATTTTAATGGAGTTACATGGTTACCTTTGGCTTAGCAGGTTTAGGCTTTTGATCTTTGCCCCCCTTTCCCTTCGCTGTCTCCTTTGGTTTAGGCAGAGAATCCATTTTGTCTTTGACCAAGTCGATTATTCTGGAGTCTGCAAAAGCTCTGGCAATGTCCAGGCAGTTTTGTTCTGAAACGAAAAACAAAACATGGTCAGTCAAGTAAGTACAAGTAACAGAGGGATAGCTTGCCACAAGGTTGAATACTTTTTATGAATTGATTGGGCCTTTCAACCAAATCAGTGGCTCCCATTTTCTGTGTTGTTTCCTCAAAATGTTATGTTTTATGTTTTTACTATGTTATTCAGTTATATTTTCATATGTTTATTTTAATCTGTCACTAGTATACATTGACAGTATTCCAGATAAAACTGATTTCAGCATTAGTATTTTAAAAGAACTTTGCGATATTTCAGATTACAGTCAAACCTTTCTTGTTCTCTGCATTGACACTGGCGCCTGCCTTGATGAGGAAGTCCACACAGGAGGGTTGAGAGCTCTCGATGGCCCTCATGAGGGGTGTGCCTCCACTGAGGGCCCGTGCGTCTATGTTGGCCCCAGCCTCCACCAGAAGCTCTATAAGTTCCACTTGGCCAGCATGAGCCGCATGGTGGAGGGGGGTCCAGAAGAATTGGTCACACGCATTCACATCCGCCCTGTTAGGAATACACGTGTTATCAGTAGGGCATGGGCCTTGTTACACACTGAATATAAATCTGATCTGGGAGTCTAAATAGCCTATACTTGTACCATGCAATCAAAAACAAACTTTTCATATAAAAAGAAACACATTTTATAGTGTAACTAAAACACTTAACTACTGAAGCACAGGTTAGCCTTTATTGTGAAGCAGTTGCAATGTTTTGTCAGGTGTTTTTGTGAGGTTAGCACTGACAGTGATCTTTTCTTAAAAATGTAGTCTACAAAATTGGACATTGTCATTTTCTGCATAGTTTTATTTGGTTGCAGTGCAAACAGATACACCAGTTTTTATTTTGTCTTTAGTGACATAGTAACTGCTCAGTGAGTGCTGCCTGCAGAATTCTGGGACCTGTAGTATCAAACCACACTTGCTGATACCACCCCTTACCACATGTCACCAAATCAACAAAGGTGTAATGAATTATAACTGTAAACCTGCAATATCTGTTTCTTAGGCCACTTAGGGGCAACAGAACCAAGTTGTAGACAACACTGACATATCAACAAGCTATAATCTTCTACAATGTACACTACCAGCAGTGATTCATTTGGAGTTATGTTTTTGGCCACCCGGCAAATTTAACTCAAATATTTTATATCTCTTTTAACTCTGTTTTTGGTCTCTACCAACTCCTGTGGGAATGCTTCACTGTGCGTAGATGCTAGTCTCTAACTGTGTCTGTCTGCTGCTGAGCAGGTAGTGCAGACAAGTCACAACAGCCAAATGCTGCGGCAGAAAATGACATGCCGAGGGAAGCTGCAGGTTCAAAAGATCATTCTTTATAGGTTCATCACTATAAGCGACCTCTTTCAAAATATCACATTGTTTTCAGCTGTCATTTGGTACGTTGAATGCGCTTACTTTGTACATGAACACTAATGTTTCACTATTTCTGAATCTCACAATATTCCATATTTGATGCAGGTCATGTAAGCAATATATTCCGTCTGGATATTCCAAGTTAGGCCTTCTCATGGATGAACAACTTTTCAATTAAGACATGGGGGATATGATATAATATTTTGGTCTTAGAAGCATTTGTGTATGTATACATGTATACAGTGCATTCAGAATCTGTGTCTCACTTGGGGTTTTTGCTGCAGCTTGTGACACACAGCCTCTTGGCTTTTTAAAGCAGGCTCTGTGTATTATCATGGACACCCTGTACACAAACCAACTTGCCAAGAGTTTGCAAGGCTGGGGTAGAGATGCACACCCAAAAAAAGGCTTCATTTCTGATCAGATGGAGAAACACCCCTATCTTAAACATTGTGAAAGACTTGGATATCAACAGGTTTTTGGATATGCATAAATATCGCAATACCCCCTTATACTTTTCTATATTTCATGGATGAGGTAAACTGGAATACTGGAATATTGATTTTCATTAGCCATGTAAACAGCTTAGTAGGAATATTGCCGTCTTTTAGTAAAGACAAAAAACCTGAATATTTTGTGCATGTAAACATAGTCATTGTTACTATTAAAATATGGATTATAGTGGCATTAAATTAGCATTATTGTTTATCTATTTTACCTAACTATGATAAATAATCTTTCACCCATTCATTATAACTGGGATAAATCATGTCCGCCATGTGGTTGTGTCCTTCTATGCACCTGTCAAGTTTCTCTTCTCTTCTGCTTCACACACACCTTACCCCCGGCAGCACATAAGATCTATACAATAAGCACAGTTTCAAGGTGGACACCCAAGATGAGTGTCACCAATTCCATATCTGACCAAATGTCTCCCCTTCTGCTCCTGAGATATGGTGCAGATTAATCGCCAGGAAAGTCTTTTATGCAGAACATTATGATGTCTCAGTGAAGCTGACCTTTGACTGTTTGGATATAAAATAACATCACATCATCATTTTATCCTGACATTTGTGTGAAGTTTTGTCAGAATTAGCACACGAATTCTTATGGTATGACCAAAAACATATTTTATGAGGTCACACTGACCTTGACCTTTGACCACAAAACTGTGAGTTTATTCTTCACTCCAAGTGGACGTTTGTGCCAAATTTGAAACATCTTGTGCTGGAGATTAGTGATGGCCTCATGAAGCCTCATGAAGCATTTTCTTTATTTTCTGAGCCCACTAGTTGGCGCTTTTTATTCAACAAAAGGTTTAAAACACACTGAATTGCCATTCTTTGGGCCTCTCTTTTTAAACCAAGAGCACCATCTAGTGGGCTTAGAAAATGAAGAAGATGCTTCATGAGGCTTCATGAGGCAATCACTATTTGAGATATTGCCTTCACAAGAATGAGATGGATGCAAGGTCACAGCAATCTTTACCTTTGACCACTGACCATCAAAATCTAAACAGTTCATCCCTTGAGTCCAAGTGAACGTTTGTGCCAAATTTGAAGAAATTCTCTCAAGACATTCATGTTTCACAAATAGGACTAAAAAGCATTTGTGTATTGCTGAAGGTGGTGAAATCTTTGTTTCCAAAGTCTAAAATCCAATAGAAAAGCAAAGATGATCTGACTCACCCCTTACTGAGGAGGTACTGAGCCACTTCATAGTTGCCACTGGAGCAGGCCACCATCAGCGGGGTCTTGTAAAACTGGTCTTGAACATCCACAGGAACCCCCTGACTGAGAGCGAGGTCCAGAGACTCCAGGTCTCCACTTTTCACACAGTAGTTGATATTGACATAGACCTTCTGTGGCTGTTCTACATACCATCCTGAATCGTTCATTATAGGATGTTCTGGTGGGTGATCATGGTCAAATCGGCTGATGTCTGAGCGGTTGTAATATGTCTCAATCATGAAATGGGGTGGGCCCCCGTCTGGTCGCCGGGGCATTAGCTCCTGAGGGAGGGTACAAATGGGCATGGGGAGGACAAATTTACCCTTCTTCTTACCTCCCTTTCCTCCCTTTTCTCCTTTTTTCTTTTTAGGCATGTACGAGGAGAGGAGGAATGGTTTCTTGATGTACTTGACACCTCTGATGAAATCACTGATGTTGATACACCCCTCTTTTCCCTTATCATGGGCTGAGATGACTGTCTGGAGCTGGTCTAGTTCAACAGGAGCTTTTAGTTCTTCTAACACTGAAATAAACATCTCAGTGGTAACTGTGTCTGATTTGTTCCCAAAGGCTTGCCGTAATTCAGCCTCATACTCGTGAGACCAGTCGTGGAGGGTCAGGCTCCAAGGATCTGACATGAGGGTGACACTGCCGGATTTGTTGCCTTTTCCCTGTTGCCGCTCTGCTTTCCTAAGCTCCTTGGCTGCTGCTTTGTGACCAGCGTCTTTGGCAATCTGACGTGGCAGCAAACCTTCCTGGCTCCTCAGTTTGGGGTTACAACCTGAACACAGAGCATAGTTTTAGGAAAAACATAAATACATGGTAAATGTTTGCATCAAAACAAGACTGTTCATTATTCACAATGCATTTCAGAGAGGTAAATATGATTAAAATTGTAACAAAACCTTTTATCCAAAAATTAAATGAACAGAGCAGTTTTGCTTTCACTTTCGGGTTGTGCTATAATCCTGCTAATTAATCAAAATAAGACATAAAATAAGGTTCTTCTTCACCTGAATCCAGTGCATCTCCTAGAAGCAAAATAAAATTGTACCTAAAATATATGTTTACTAAAAATAAATATGCCATCACAGAATGCAACCACATGAAGACAGTGTTTAGTGGACACATATCTTTGGCCAAACACAACTGCATTGGTTATTTCAGTCTGTATTTGGTAGGAGTGGCTACAGAAACCTGGTGCCAATAAAGCACCAGTTTCTATACAACAGGTACTTACTGGACCAAATCATAATGCAAACTTTAGTGTCTCATTTGGGTGCAATACTGAAGAAACTTTTGTACATTTAAACCTACTAAAAATTATTAAGTTCATCACTCTGTTTTTTTTCAAAAACTGTAAAACTTGTTGAACCTATCTCCTCTCACAATTTTTGCTCAATTGACACCAAACTTGCTACAAAGCATCTTCAGACTGTCCTACAAAAACTACGTTTCTTAGATTTTTGATTTATCAAAAATTGAGCCTACAGTGCATCAAAATGTTTGACTGTAAATGGTACTGTAAACATATACATGCAAATTCTTGCTAAATAAATCTTTAATGTTCATGAAAAAAATGACAAAATTCTAGAGTCATGGTAGATGATGTGTGGCAAATTTCAGAATTTTATCTCAAAAACTGAATTTTTGACAGCATTTTGAATTTTGCTCTAATGTGAACAATTGGAGTCAATGTAAAAATGGCACTTTTAAACATCGGTTTTTCACTTATGGAGCAAATCAATCATTGTTAAAATAAATTACCAACATCTCCATGCTGTCTAGATGCAATATGTGTATTTTCAGATTTTTGTTTCGATAACTGAATTGTTTACAGTGGTTTGAAATCTGCTTTTCCATGCATGGAAGGCTGCTAAACCTGCACGTCTGGCTTAGTCAATTTGTGAAGCTACACACACATTGTCACTGACTAATTAGCTCAGTGAGATAGAAATTGATCCTTAGTCTCAGAGGTTGTGAGTTCAAGCCTCAGCTGATGCAAAAGGCAGATTGTGTTGCTAAATTCCTAAATGTCTTCCAATTCTTCTGCTTGTTGCTCAGAATTGCCTAAAAATGCCCGGACCCGACCCATCACTGCGCAGCAGCTATAATTCTTTCTAATCTTCACTCAGTATTATGATGTGAAGAATATGATTTATTTTATTGACAGTTTAGATTTGTTATCAGTAAGGTATTAAGTTCATATTGTGACTTTGCTGTTTTACTCTTAACTGTTGCTGCTCTAGAAACAACATTTAGTTATCAAATATTCAGTTTTAATCCTATTCTGAATTTATTCTTTTTTAAAATTATTCCACACAGTGGATAGTGCCGGCGCCCCATGTACAGAGGCAATGCCTCGCTGCAGTGCTTGCAGCTTCGACTCCAGCTTGCAACCCTTTGCTACATGTCAACCCCTCACTCTCTTCTCCCATTTCACTCCGTCCTGTTCATTAAAAGGCAAAAAGCCCAAAAAATAATCTTTAAAATAATTCCACATAAATCATTTTAAGTATTAGATCTCTGAGAATCTCTTTCATATTGCAGCAAAAATTGGTATTGTACTTGGAATATCCCCAGTCAAATCAGTATCGAATCGGAAATTGAGTCATATCGGGACCTTGTGAATCAAAATCGCATTGATTCTGGAAATCAGTGGCAATATCCAGCCCTAGTAGCAAGTGTGCAGCTCAGAGAGGGAGAGAGAGCCACACATGACACAAGACAGTGAAGAATTTGCAACCAAAGCAGACGGTATAAAGTTAAACCCAGAAGTGCAGTGAGTGTACAGTTTAGGCTATTAATCAGTTAATAAATGCTATAACTCCTCAACACCCAAGCCAAGCTCCCGTGTTTTGCTTGCTGATTAAAGTGAGGGAAGTTATTCACAAAGTTAGCGAGCAAAGTTAGCCTCACATTGAAAACTGACCAGGCTTATTTAAGGTGGACTGTTAAGGTGGATCAGCTATTCTTATTGCAGTGACATAAGCCACTCCTAAAAAAATAATGATGAAATGTCTGGCTGCTGAGTCTCTCCTGGTGTAAGGAGACAATTACCAACCCCAACTCAAAATTATTTTTGCTATTATTGTTAATGTAACTGTTATTTAGTGTTAAATTATTCTAGATGGTTTGGCTTTATTCATTTTACTATTCATACTAATAAGTATCCTTTCAACTGTTAAGAGTTAATGTATTGTTTTATTTTAAGTTTTAATTTGCCTTTGCAATGAAAACAAAGCTCGGGCACTGTTTCGGCACCAGAATGTTTTCAAAGTCTCATTTTGGCACTGGTATTGAAAAAAACCCAACAATACCCAACCCTAGTTAGATGTATACAGTGATGCGCATTACAGCATTTGTGATATGGATGTTTGCGTTGACGCTGGACAGGGACAGGGATTCAGTGAAGTAACATTGGCAATGTTGTTTCTCATGGTCTTCATGCATTCATCATACTGCAGTTCGCACAAGTTAGTTGTGTTGTTTTGTGGTACAGACACAATTCTTATGCACTCTTTGCATATAATTCGTTATTGCTAAACATCACTTGCCCTAAATCCGGAACACTTCCAAACAAAGGAAGTATTTCACACTTTCCAAAAGTGGCAGTTGGCTGTCAGTTTAGAAAGCACATGATTTGATTCACATTCTAAATGTCAATATTGCAGTTGATCATGTGTATTTCATTGTAGGAGGCCAAAATTGTTATTGAGATGAATATTCAATTAATTGTGCGGCCCTACCACAGAGCTCTCTTTGCCTTATCTTTGAAAACCAAAGACCTATTACACTGTTTCACAGCACCTCTCTGTGCCAGGAACTTGCAGCAGTTAGCATCTCCCGTGGCTGCAGCGTAGTGTAGAGCTGTGCAGTCCTCTAGGTCGATCACACCCATGTCTGCTGAGTGTGCAGACAACACCTGAATCACCTGGAAGGCACAAAACAACACAGAGCAAACACACAAAATCTTAAAAATCTAACATCCCACTTTTACTGATAGTAAACACAGTAATTTGAGTTAGGGCCTGAGTGAGCAATTTAAAAAAAAAACAGCTAATGTAGGGGCCAATAACAGCCACTTCCACTTTGATTTCATAGGTTGGATGAGCAGATGCTACCTCAAAGAAGCCCCCCATGGCGGCATAGTGTACTGCAGTGAGATGTTTTCTGTCCAGAGCGTTGGGGTTTCCTCCTTTCCTGAGAATGGCTTTAACGAGCTGCAGGGAGCCAGCCCTGGCTGCCTCCATCAATGCTGTGACACTGGTTTTCTGACAAGAGAGAGGAGAAGAGTCAGTCTTACGTTAAACAGAATGCATGAAGAACATCTTGGCTGGAAATATTTCAGCATCACCAAGCATGAGCTCAGTTCCCACATACTAAATGCCACTGCCTCAAGGTGTGTTTACATGTACCCTCATATTCCATTAAAAACCAGAATAAAAATGCCTTATGTAACCACCTCAGAGGAGGAGAGGAGGTCAGAGGAGACTGGTCTGATCGCAAGAAATTTTCAATTAAGTTGAGGGGGATGGTGTAATCCATTTAATAGAGAAATATTAGCAATATTAGTTTCTCTCTGGGTGGGATAATAAAAAATTTTCTGCACGTTCCCCCCAAGTGAGGGTAATATCAGGTTACCTAGGGGATGCATGCGCTGCATATGACAGAAAACTATTTTGGACTCTGCTCATGCTACTTTCTCTGCTCTGATATATAAATGTATTCTTTGATAACAATCTTCTGGTGCTACTGCATTATAATGAATCCCAATGAGTTTTACAAGTCCTGCCCTACTGGACAGTGACTGGCTAGTACTCATCACGTCAATGTATCAAGGTTGGAAATGGTTATGGTTAGGAAAAGAGGTTATGGTTAGGGCTACTATTAGCCAATCACAGCACAGTCGGTGGGACTTGCAAAGATTGATTGATTGATTTTATTTATTTAAGTGTCGTGCACCGTGGTGCCCTGCCCATATGGGCTTACAAGACACTAGAACAACAGCCTGGATGGCCACATGACAGATCAATAACAAAAAGTCCACAAAAGGAAAGCAAACCATTCAGAACAGCCAAATTCCATAACAACATCTTATTATGTTGGGTACGTTCTCTGTCTTAAGTGCCAAGCATTTTCTATAAATCTTGCCTAGGCAAAGGTCTCCTCATCAAAAAGCCAACACAACATCTCACCTTCGGACAACCAAAATAAACTCCTTTCCACTGAATTTTTTCAAACAGATAGTTTCTTAAATCACAGCATAAAAGGCAAAGAAACAGATAATGATATTCATCTTCAACAACATCAAGATCACAAAGAACACATATACGTTGCTCCTCCAGGATACCTTTATATCTGCCTACTTCAATAGCCAGAGGAAGGGTACCAGTTCTCAACTGGGCACAACTGCAAAGAAAAGCAGTGGGATCCATAATACAAATTGCTACCAGTAGCATTAACCTGCATTTGAGACATTTAGGGAACACTGGTAAATTGTAGTTTCTACCGATAGTCTGCATGTGAAGTGTTTAGAGGATATCTGTAATTTGTAGCAGAAAATAAAATGGGTTTTACTTTCATTAGTTACTGCTAAAGTGTGCTAAAAGGCAGAGCCACTTCTTCTCCTTCTATACTTCACATATTGAATTAAATATAATATCGAATTTTCTCAATAACGTTTAAAAAAAAAAAAAAAAAAAAAAAGGCTATTCTTATTCTGGCAGATCACTTCAAAGCAGGTTTAACAAATTTGCCCAATTCAAAAAAGTTCTGATGAAATCCTTTGGAGCATGTAAACACACACCTTATTAGCTCATTTTATTTAGCGTCCATGTAAACAGTTCATTTGGAATCTCTAATTAGAATGATTTTATTCAGATTGAAAAAATATTGCTAATGTGACTGCTAATCCCCATTTTCAGTTTTTTACCTGATCTACTGCATTGGGGTCAGCCCCTCCATTTAACATGATGAGACACATTGGGGTACACTCCTGGGCTCTTTCACACATCAGCTGGAAAACATGAGTCCCCTGCGCTGACACATTGTTGACGTCTGCCTGGCACTTCAGTGCTACCTGCAGGCAGCGAGAGTGGCACTTGGTGGGGTAGATACAGTAGAACAGCACACCTATAGAGAGAGACAGATAGAGAGATAAAAACAAATCATTTTTGGCAGGGGTGTCCTGGTAGCAAATTCACCATATGACTGCAAAGTCTGAGTTTCAGTTCTAAACAGACACCTGTGTTGTTGGTCATACTTATACACACACACGTCTGTGTGTGTGTGTGTGTGTGTGTGTATATATACAGTACAGACCAAAAGTTTGGACACACCTTCTCATTCAATGCGTTTTCTTTATTTTCATGACTATTTACATTGTAGATTCTCACTGAAGGCATCAAAACTTATGTACTTAACAAAAAAAGGTGAAATAACTGAAAACATGTTTTATATTCTAGTTTCTTCAAAATAGCCACCCTTTGCTCTGATTACTGCTTTGCACACTCTTGGCATTCTCTCCATGAGCTTCAAGAGGTAGTCACCTGAAATGGTTTTCCAACAGTCTTGAAGGAGTTCCCAGAGGTGTTTAGCACTTGTTGGCCCCTTTGCCTTCACTCTGCGGTCCAGCTCACCCCAAACCATCTCGATTGGGTTCAGGTCCGGTGACTGTGGAGGCCAGGTCATCTGCCGCAGCACTCCATCACTCTCCTTCTTGGTCAAATAGCCCTTACACAGCCTGGAGGTGTGTTTGGGGTCATTGTCCTGTTGAAAAATAAATGATTGTCCAACTAAACGCAAACCGGATGGGATGGCATGTCGCTGCAGGATGCTGTGGTAGCCATGCTGGTTCAGTGTGCCTTCAATTTTGAATAAATCCCCAACAGTGTCACCAGCAAAACACCCCCACACCATCACACCTCCTCCTCCATGCTTCACAGTGGGAACCAGGCATGTGGAATCCATCCGTTCACCTTTTCTGCGTCTCACAAAGACACGGCGGTTGGAACCAAAGATCTCAAATTTGGACTCATCAGACCAAAGCACAGATTTCCACTGGTCTAATGTCCATTCCTTGTGTTTCTTGGCCCAAACAAATCTCTTCTGCTTGTTGCCTCTCCTTAGCAGTGGTTTCCTAGCAGCTATTTGACCATGAAGGCCTGATTCGCGCAGTCTCCTCTTAACAGTTGTTCTAGAGATGGGTCTGCTGCTAGAACTCTGTGTGGCATTCATCTGGTCTCTGATCTGAGCTGCTGTTAACTTGCAATTTCTGAGGCTGGTGACTCGGATGAACTTATCCTCAGAAGCAGAGGTGACTCTTGGTCTTCCTTTCCTGGGTCGGTCCTCATGTGTGCCAGTTTCGTTGTAGCGCTTGATGGTTTTTGAGACTCCACTTGGGGACACATTTAAAGTTTTTGCAATTGTCCGGACTGACTGACCTTCATTTCTTAAAGTAATGATGGCCACTCGTTTTTCTTTAGTTAGCTGATTGGTTCTTGCCATAATATGAATTTTAACAGTTGTCCAATAGGGCTGTCGGCTGTGTATTAACCTGACTTCTGCACAACACAACTGATGGTCCCAACCCCATTGATAAAGCAAGAAATTCCACTAATTAACCCTGATAAGGCACACCTGTGAAGTGGAAACCATTTCAGGTGACTACCTCTTGAAGCTCATGGAGAGAATGCCAAGAGTGTGCAAAGCAGTAATCAGAGCAAAGGGTGGCTATTTTGAAGAAACTAGAATATAAAACATGTTTTCAGTTATTTCACCTTTTTTTGTTAAGTACATAACTCCACATGTGTTCATTCATAGTTTTGATGCCTTCAGTGAGAATCTACAATGTAAATAGTCATGAAAATAAAGAAAACGCACTGAATGAGAAGGTGTGTCCAAACTTTTGGCCTGTACTGTATATATATATATATATATATATATATATATGTATATATGTACATGTGCATTGTAGCTAACTAATGCCTAGCAGCACAGATGGCCCAGCTGCTAAGGGATGGGACCCACCCAGAATGGTTGACACAGGGCAGGACAGTCCTGATCATGAAAGACCCCCAGAAGGGAACCATCCCATCCAATTACAGACCAATAACCAGAGTTGGGTATAATGCATTACAAAAGTAACACTATGTCACATTATATGATTGTGGAGTCATAAAATCATGCCGTGACTTGGCCGACAGACATGACACACTACATGATGGTACTCACCAATTACCCCCGGTCGTCTTTCACGACGTATGTGATGTCATCGGGTTATTCTTGTCTTTTTTTTATTACTTTTACTATTATTTGAGTCACTGTGTCTGTTCATGTGCCAGCCGAAATGTTGTTGTAGTCACCTAAAAAGCGCCAGCAGATGGCAGGAGCTACATTTGAAGTATCGTACCCAAACATTCAAACTACTATATCCTCCACAACAAGTTCCTACAAATTCACAATAAAAGCCTATTTAGAAAATGGAGGGATTCTCTCAGCCGAGGTTATAAGAGGCTTTTAATTTGAAACAAATTCAGGAAGTGCTGAGTTTGAAATGACGGTATATGTTATAGATATGTTAACTTTATAAAGACAACGGGAGCTGATAAAAAGTAAAAATATAAAAACACACAGGCTCTACACTAAGCGGAAAGAGGGAGGCTGAGGACTAGTGAGCATCCAGAATGAAACATCCAAAATCCAGGAGTACATCAAGAAGATGGTCCCAAAGGATGAGCAGCTAAGTGAATGCCTCAGACAAAAGAAACCTGATGAGAGCAAAGAGGCGGAGGAGCAAACAACATGGAGAGACAAGCCCCTACGTGGTGCATACCATCGTCAGATAGGCAGACAGATCATGAGGCTGGGGAAAGGGCTTGGCTGTGAGTGTTGAGAGTGAGCTGAACCAGGCCTTAGGCAGTGCAGGATAATATCAGGTTACAACTCAACCACCATGATCAGTTTTTAATGTTTTATTAGGCAATAACTACACCAGACTCTGCTCTAGTGTAATTTTCGGGACAATTAGGGCAGGATTTGTCTGTCATTGTCGACATTAGTCACATATTCCAACGACATTTAATCCAGGGCTAGAAGAATTGCCGTTTGAATCGTATTAGGTTAACCCATGTATGTGTGAAAAGTGGTTAAGGTTAGCCCAGGGCAATTCTTAGCCCAGGTCGAAGGGTTGCCCTGGGCTAAGAATATGCAGCGTAAAAAGCCTGACTGTGTGTTAAGGCCAATAAGTCTCTAAATGTATGTGCAGGTGCGCTGCCTCACTGGTACATCAGTGACTGTAATGAGGAAGGAGCAGGTGCTCTTCTCCCCATCCAGCCCATCTTTATAACACTGAGGATAATACAGACACATGTGTATGACTGTTGACACTCAGCCTACTGGGGGAAAGGCTTGGCTGTGAGTGTTCAGACTGAACCAGTCCTTAGGGAGTGCAGGATAATATCAGGTTACTCAGCATGTTTCACAGGAGAGGATCACCATTCGTGGTTGATCTGTAATTAGATGTACCCACGCGGTCTGACACACATGCATGACACCCACACATACCATACACAATTGTGCGCAGACAATCACATGCAACATACAGTGCATGAATTATACAAGAGCATGTATTCATACACACAAATCCTTTTCTTCCTGACTCCCCCCTCTTTCTTCCCTCAATCTCAAAAGAGAGCCATTTGCAGTAATTGAAGCTGCAGACACACTGTAATTGGTGTCATTATCATAATTGGTTTAAAAAGTTCCTGAAGTTGTCTGGGATACCGCCTCCTCATCAATATCTAAACAGAAGCAGCATGCATTTTCATGAGCTGTGAGACAAGGCAGGGCATTCACAGTGAACCTGCTGCTCATACATGAGATGGAAAACACCGCGATTTGAGAAATCGACACTTCAGGCTCAAATGAGAATACATTAGTGGAAGGGAAGTTGTTCCATTACCACTCATCATTAAAGCCAAGATAACTTACTGACATTACAGGTACATTTTTGCACATTTTATAAGAGTTTTACTTATAGATTCAAATGTTTTGTTGTTTTTTGTTGCCAGATAATCATACATATAAACTGAAATAAAGGTCAGTTGTCTCGTGTGAATCAGACCTGAATGTTCAGTTCTCTCTCAGTTTGAGACTTAGAGCAGTTTCTATTCCTGTGTTTTCATACTTCAAGTTAGAGCAATGTTGTTTTCATAATTTCATGATGAATTATCAGCCTTTTCCAATCGCAACAATTAATAGTAATTCAACCCATTACCATAAATTCTACCCCACCTTGCAATTTTCAATCAATAACCACAACTTTAACACATTTTTGATCAATCATCATAGCTTCCTGTGAGTTTCACCGATCATAGCAGTCCCCCACATAACATTACCAAACACACTTCCTGGTTACTGGCAAGGAAACTAGTAGGAAAGGATATGACATCAGTGACAGTATTTGAATTTTGCATTGGAGGCAGAGTTTGGTGTCAGTTCTTTTGGAGTCAATGGGGCAGGCACAACAAATCACAATATAACATCATATCTGTGTTGTTTTACTTTTGACTGAAAAATACTTCCACCGGATTAAAAAACACACAATATGTGATGTTGACTGACATTTGTTATCTAAATGTGTGCATTCGTTTTCTTTGTTATTGGTCTACAAGCAGATCATGGCTCTATCCAATCCAGCAGCTGCAACTCAAGCCCTTGTTGGGTCCAAGATTGCTAGATAGTATTGTAGGTGACATGTATTTGATTAACAATAGCTAACCAACCTTCAAAGGACTAAATATTTAGAAGGGCTAACATTAATTGCCAAATCTGTACTTTTATTACTTACTGGTACTTGGTAGTTTGTTTGTAAATTAATTAAGTTAGCATTTGCATTTTGTTTAGCTAATGTTGAACAACTCAATTGACACGCCTCATGTTAATTTGGACTGTAAGTGTCAGTAAGAAATATCCTTACGAAGGCGTACAAGACACAGACAGGAAGCTGCACTTTTGGTAAGTGATCACAAATGCAGCCTCTCTGGCTTAATGATTGTCAGGACTTATGTGAGTGCTATCTAATAATATAGGCTAACATTAGTATGAATGTAAATCACTGTGGCAAACTGCAAGGCATTGTTGCATATGGTCCAGTTTGGCAGATATTTACCTCACTCTTGAGTCTAGCCAGAATAATAATCACAGCCATTAATAATCATGATGTATCATAATGTAGCTTGGAGCAAACATGGGCCCCATTGACTCCAACAGAACTGACACCAAAGTCTGGCTCCAATGCAACATTTTAACACTGTAAATGACCTTTTCTTCTTTTATAGTTACCTTGGTTTATGGTTGTGAAGACGCACATATGTAAGACACGGACGTCTCACATTTGCCAATCTGGAAATCCAGATCCAATCGTAGTTTTTCGACTAACGGAAGTGCAGGGGCCTTGGGGATCGCTCAACCCCTTCACTTCCAGCGGTGCCCCCAGGGAATCGCCTTGTTGTTTACAAATACTTCCAGGTACAAAACCAGCAGAGTTTAGCTATATACACACATATACTGTATATATCACATTTTTCACGTCACTGTATCATCGTTTAGACTAAACATTACTATCTCTGTGTGCACGTTTTGTAATTAATAACATGGTTATCGTAGATTAGCTGGGCTAACCGTTAGCTGTTAGGCCCGTTAGCGGTGTCTGTAGTAACTCAGTAACTCGATAAACGGTCCGTGAAAAAATATTTTTTCCAGCGGATATCTTAGTTACAACATGATTGAGCTAGCAAAGCAGTTTTGTGTTGCTATGTGTGGTATTTATTCAGTTTTGGGAAATCACGATGTCTAGAAAACATCAGTGGCTGCAGCTGATAGGGACAGCTAACAGCAGCAGCAAAGCTAACATCAGTATGTCATCTGTTAAAAGCCTCCTGTTGTCGGATACAACATGAAACTACTCCAGTTAGCTCAATCATGTTGTAACTAAGACATCCGCTGGAAAAAATATTTTTTTCATGTTGACGAGATGGCGTTTTGGGTGGAGCGGTCGCCATGGACGCAGAGCTTGCTGTTTCTGTAGTTACACATTTCCTGGGGACACCCGCACGTCTCGGCCCCGCCCCCTCAATTGTGATTGCCCCCCCCCGTAGTCGTCTTTCACACAGGGCTGCCGACAGATTCTACAATGTAAATTGCAGAATCTGTCTTGAGAGATTACACATTTACTAACAAAAATTACTACAAGAGGCGATGCAGTGTAGTTCCCTACACAAAAGCAGGGGTACACTAGCCTGGAATTCCAGGCTCAAATCTAGAAAGATTTTGAGTCTGGCCCTCACCGATACACCCTTCCTACCCAAGGGGCGGCACTAACTGAAGCATATTACAGTAAATGCCGCCGCACGCAATTGGATAGCACGATAGCCAGTCAGAGCAAAAAACAAGGTGACATATTCATTGCAGTAAGCCCCATTGGTTTGCCGACCAGTGGGGCTAACTGATATATATTATGCTTTTGCCGTATCCCGTCAGCAAAACAGCAAAAACGTCCTTCCTGGAAGCGAAGGCTTCTAGGGCAGACTTCTGTTCCTCTCTCAAGGAGGATAAGTGTAGTTGGCTCAGCGTTTCTTACAAAGCTAAATTGAATGGATGCGGTCCTTCGGCAGCTGCCATCTTGGCTGTTTACTTTTCGACTCCTACGGCGCAGCACTGTCCTCATCATGTTACACCCGCCCAGAGCCCGCCTCTGTCAGATAGACTGATCTGATTGGTCCGATGGCGATTCAACGGGCTCTGATCGTCGGGGCCAGATCCCCATGCAGTGCAAATTCGAATTTGCTAGGGGCGGGGCATCTGGATTTCCAGGTTAGGGGTTCACTGTTCTGCACCATCAACTGACAAACATCTTCTTTAACCACAAAACACACCGGGAGCATTGCTGAAACATGTGGACAACAAACAAGACAAATAACCACAACAGAGGCTGTTGCATCCAAATGTATTGCCAGTGTCGAAAGAATCAAGGTGAGTTAGATTAGTTATGTAAGGTTAGTGGTAACGTTTGTGTCTACAAATCACAAACAGTGTGGTTTTATTCTCACTGGAATAGGTTGCCTTTCAGTTTTTATTATTTACACAAACAAATCACAACTACCTTTGCAATTTCCTCTTGCTCCTGCAATTTCATTGCAAAAAATCATGTTGTTAAATCAGGCATTTTAGGCTGCAACTATGCTTGAAAAAGCCCAAACGTCCTGGAAAGATTATGCCTTTCAGGTGAATTAACGGAAATAGACACATCCACAATATCCACTTTAAGGTGATTTGAAATATTTAAGAGCCTACAAGCAACAAATGTTTATACTTTTACCTGGTAAATTACTTCAGACATCAATCAATTTTCTTTTTGCCAATTATTCAATACTTAAGTAATCTTTTAAGCCCTCATGCATATTTGCATTTTGTTTGATACATAAAATATTAAAACCATGACACCCTACATTTAGGCTGGAACTGTATGTACAATTCTAACATTTGTCCTCCTCTTTACTAGGGGTGGGGGAAGTATCAATACAGCATAGTATCGCAATATTTTGGCAATACTGTATAGATACACAGAATGCAAATATTGTTTTTTTTAATCATATGAATTATTAATATTACAAATATAGATAAGACTTTTGGTAGCCTTAAAGAACACTAAAATCAATTGTTTTTCAGTCCACTAGATACTTTTTGCTAAAATAAAAATGATAAATGTAAGAAAAACAAAACAGATATAAAGATTTACTTTGGGGACATGATTTTTAGTTGATAAAAGGTAATTAATCATAATATTTTGCAATATACATTACACCAATACTCAGCAAATTGCAAAACATTGAAAATTGCAATAACGGTGAGGCCTCTGATTCCAACCCCTACTCTTTACTAAAGCCACTGCATTCTTTACCAGTAGATCTGGACACTTTCATCCAACTGAATCATGTTGCACTGTATCTCTGGATTTCTATTACTATGCACCTCCAGAGGCTTATCATCGTCATATGATAGCAGATGGGTTCCGAAACTGGTGATGATCTGTCACTTCTATGCAGACTTTTTATTATTCAGCTCTCTCACAATTTTCAGATTTCAATTTCAATAAAAGTACTTAATTTAAATAAAGTATTAAATCTATCAAATATATGATACTCTTCTCTCCCAAAGTCTTTTGTTTTTCCAGAACCCACCATCTGCACATTATATGGTGAATGGTAATGCCTGCAGCTGCTCACCTTTACCCTCACTGTCTTGGAGCCTCAAGTCAGCATGGCTCTGGGCCAGCAGTGTCACTATGACATCATTGCCCAGCTCAGCAGCTAACATGACTGGGGTGCGGCCCCTCTTGTCCTGCATGTTGGGGTGTGCTCCCTGGGAGAGAAGGAAGCTGACCAAGTCTGTAAGGAGTGGAGAAACAGTCAGGACATTAAAGTGACTTTAAAACAATACTGATTTTGGTTTGCAGTACATTTTATGAACTGTTGGATTTCTCTCACAAACATTTTGGACTGTAGCCTTGTGCATTCTAATAATTCCTGGATATCATCAAGTTACTGTACAGCAGGAACTCAAAAATGTAATCCACAATATTTAAGAAATACCAAGAAACAACTAATTTAACATAGGAATGCACAGTGTCTAAGCTATGTAAATACCGTCTAAAGCCATTGCTTTCAAATGTTAGCCACTACTAATTATGACTTATTGCTCCAGCAGGCCAGGGCAGCACCATGTCTTAAATGGAATAATGTGACGAAGTAAAGCAGAGGCCCATCACCCTGATTGTTGGTTGAAACTGCCACGTGAAGCACCCCTGTGCCGTCCTTTGGTTCAGTGAGATTGATGAGGTTTTCCACCCCAAGGTTCACCATCTTCTCTATCTGCACCTTATCCCCTTCATGGACGCACTGCAGCAGGCGGTAGATCTGAAGGACCTGCAGGCGGCCCACTGCTACTTTGCTGCTCATCATAGGGTCACACAGGGGTTGCTGGGAAAAAAGAACAACCCATATCACTTTATGACCAAAATGCAGTGATAGAAGAGGTACTCAGATCTTTTAAGTAAAAGTATCAGTGCCACAGTGTAGCAATACTGTGTTACAAGTAGAAGTCCTGCATTCAGCATTTTATTTAAAGGTCCAGTGTGTAGGATTTAGGGGGATATATTGACAGAAATGGAATATAATATGATAAGTAGGTTTTCTATAAGGTGTAATCACCTGAGATTGCTGGTCAGTGTGCTGTGCAGTGTACTTTTGGTCCCCAGACTTTGCTGTGGAGTGAACGCTCTTGATTTTCATGCTACTCTTTGATACAGTCAGCTGCAGATGAGATGCAGCAGCACAAAGAAGGAGAAACTCTCTGCTGCAAGGCTCCAAAATAACTTCAATTTGTCTCTTCTGCTTTAAAGTGGTGAATTTCCAGCTCACAGCAACTTAATTCGACAGTCTCTGGCTTTTGTTTGATATGTAGTGTTGGCAAAAAAAATTTTGCTGAACATTTCCGAACCATCTTTATTGCCGTTAGCTTGTTTACATGACTGCCGCTGTCACACTAAACGTCCCACTGAGTCTGTTCAAATTTTATTTGGAAAAAAAAAAAGAATCGTTGAATATTCATAATAAACAGCTGAGTCTGAGTTTGTTTTGGAGAGGAAGATACCTCTGTGGATAATGCAGCCCCCGGTAAAAACAAAACAAAAAAAAAACCTTAACAAAGAACAATGAGGGAATTCTAACCTGGAGTTCCTGCTTGGCACATGAGAGAAGTTTCAGCTAGGTGCAATCTGCAGTCCTTAGCGCTAGCTAGACACCACTAAATCCTACACACTGTTTCTTTGAGTAAAGGTACAAAAGTATTGGCATCAAAATATACTTAAAGTACCAAAAGTAAAAGTGCTCATTATGCAAAATGGCCCATTTAAGAATAACACATATAATATTATTGGATAAAAGTTATTGATGCATTAATGTGTTACTATAATGTTGCAGGTGGTAACGGTTTTTACCATACACTCTGCTAGGTAGCTTGTAAATTTTGCCAAGGGGTTAATAAAGTTTTACTTTATCATCATTTATTTGTTAATTACTATTTGCATTATTTATCTGAATCTGCCATTAACTAAATTAATAAAATAAATGTAGTGAAGTAAAAAGTATAATATTTCCAATTAAAATGTCATGGAGTACAAGTATAGAGTAACAGATGACAGAAAAACTCAAGTCAAACACAGCTGCATCGCAACCAGCTGTGGTACAGTACTTGAGTAAATGTATTTACTTAGTTATTTTCCACCACTATAAATATGCAGGTATACATGCTAATGGCTAGGGTGAGAGCAACTGTGCAGCTTTTATTTAGGTTGGTTTTTACATAAGAAGTGGAGAATGGGGTTGGTTGTCACATGGGTTTGTTATCACATTCATTAGCTCTCGCTCCCTAGAGGATGCAGTTAAAAAATTTTGATACAGAAATTTTCTGACTTAGGGTCAGAGGTCACCTAAAGGGTCATTTCAGGAGTTAGAAACTTGGCATGAGGTGAGATGACTTTTAGTGTTTAGTGTAAAAATGTAAATATACAGTTCTATATTTCTCTTCTAGACTTTCACACAAGGGGTTTAGAATAAAACAGTTATACCATTAAATTGTATGAAGGGTGAGCTAAAGTTAAGACAGTTTTTTTTTCTGAGCAAGGCTACAGCTAGTTAGCTAAGTCATTCCCATCCCAGTAGGGGACGACTCACATTCTCTATAGGGTTGATTGTCATATGTTTTTGTTGTGTTCTTTAAAATGTTACATAAGGATGAAAAATGCACTTGTAGGAATGATTTACCTGCTTATGTTCTCTCCATACAGGATGAGTATTAGGTTGTTGCATTTCAATGAAAATTTTTAATGAAATGTAACTTTAAAAAAAAAATTAAAAAAATAAGACTGCTTTCATATTTTATTTTCCCCATTAAAAGAACACAGGGACAACCAACCCCACGTCCCAAGTGCAAACAGTGTATTTAGCAGTCCATATCTTTTAAACAGAAAAAGCTTAAAGATCACTTCATTCCTGATATGTTATTTCCATGGCCTAATCAATATTGGTGTATATGAGCTACTGTCTCTCAAAGCCAGAAACCAGAGAAGGAAGTCTCAAACTTGTGATGTCATATAAAGTCTGGAGCTGCTCCACAGACAATGAACGGGAGACTGATTTAGTGGACTAACAGAATGTTTTATTCTGTTGTTGTGTTCTCAGCTCTGGCAAAACTCTTTGATCAATTGATGGTACTCCCCATGATCCACCCTCTTTTTTAGGGTGTCATGTACCCACACAGATCTCCGTTTCCCTGTGCCCAACAAACTATTTGCTGGCAGCCTCTCACCCTCACCCAGAGCTACTCCTCAGCCTGAACAATTTAGGAAACAGCTACTAATTACTGTGAAATAAATAAAATGTGTGACAAAGGGGTGAAGAAAATTCCGAGATAAAATGCATGTTTATTGAACAATAACGGATATACAAACACATGGCAACCCCCGTACACCTTCCTAACATCTGTGCCTATGAGGTGAGTACATTACATGTTTGATTTGAATGTTTATGGAGACGTGAATCAGTCTAGACCGGGAACCCCCAAACGAAAAACGGGGTTCGTTTTCAAGACGTTCATGCAATGAATGTCTTGGTCCAAGGCTAGGAAATAACATGAATGAATGTTGAAAATGGACATAGTTCCCCCTCAAGGACACATTTTTTGTGAGATTCAAATTAAAGTAAAAAGTGTGACAACCGACCCTATTCTCCCCTATTGTCCAATTGTACTCACTCATAATGTGAGCTCAGCAAACAGCACATGGGCTGTGTTGATAGTTGTCACTTAACAACAGTCTGCGGAGCCATTCTAGTGAGCAGTCAGTCCAACAAACCTGCTTTGGTTTGTTAGCGCACAAATTTTCACATTTATTCAACTAAAACAATCAACTTTTACCTCAATTTAGGTCCAACAGAGACCACAGTCTGTGACCTCTAGACACATTTTCATAAATCTAAGAGACTTTTAACGTTACTTTACCTCCAATACATAGAATTTTCAACCTGTCAAAACCATGGCAATCTAACGTTGACGTTACTTGCGTATGAACAGTACTTCACTGCCACTTAACCCAGTTTGTCCCTTACTGAAAGCTGTTACACTTTTACCGCTGTATTAAGCAAGAAAAATGACCTCAGTTTAGCTCAATAACGCTGTATAAATAAAACATTTAGCGGTATAAACACTAAATTTGAGGCCATGGTAGACCAATACACCCTCAGCCATCATTATACCCACCCGGCAACGTTAGATTAACGTTAAAGGAATGACGTTAGCTAGCTACCCTGTAGTTCCTTGTTTGACACGCGCTCCTTACCGTGCTGAAAACTTGGACAAAAAGTCCGTGCACTGTTGTTCACATGATCAGCACGTCAAGACAGAGAGGACAGTCACACTTACAGCGAGTTTCTCTTCTGAGTCTTCACCTTATTATAAAGCACAACATCTCACTTTGTGTGAGCCGGGGAGAGGAAACAAACTCAGCTCCATGGCAACGGAACGCGTGAAAATCCCGGGAAGGATTTTGCAGGTGGTTTTGGTGGTGTCTGATGCTGCCTTCAGGGGCTGGTGATGAGCTCGGTAATACGACGATTGTGGCACCAAATACAACTGCAGCAAGAGAAGGTGTACGTTACCTGAAGCATATCATATTCTTTTTTAATTTTTGATAAACTAAACAACAAAAATACACTTAAACTGAAAACAATTAACATAATGGGGAGGCGTTACTTAACACCAGTCACATTTTGTTCCCTAAACGTCACATTTCAGCAACATTCAGGTGTACCAGAAATCCCTGAAAATAGTAATCAACACATTCTGCTTGTGGGGTGAAACATCATTTTTAATTTGGAAAAAATAAATAAATAAATAAATAAATAAATAAAATTAAAAAGAAAGGGGGAAAAAAAGAAGAAAAAAGATTTATTGAATATTTTGGTCTGCTATCATTTTTTTTTTAAAACTTCTAAACCTGCTCTGTGCCAGAAAACAGCCTTGCTCCAGACAAGAAGTCACAACTTCAAACTATTCAAAATGTGTTAAAAGCCTTCAAAATCTAAAACTGACAGTAAATACTGATAACATTGATGTCAAAATGTAGTTATGATTGTCTTTGTTTAAAAATATGAAGTTTTTGTGAAAATTATGGCCCTTCGCAGATGTGTCAGATTTTTACAAAAACATGATTTAATCAGGCATAAAACAAGTTAGCGTTATCCCAAGGAATCCTGTCTCACTTCCTGGTTTCCAAAAAGGCAGGAATGCTGCTTAAATACTGGTAAGCTTTCTATTTTTTGATAAATTCATTAAATAGTACTGCTGTCAGGTATGTCTCAACCTTAACCCCATAGCCCTTCTAAATCCAAACTAAATAAGAATTATGGTTGAAAATGAATATTTTGACAAACTTTACCAGAACTCTTGGCAACTTTGAAAAATTAAATGTCTACCCACAACTGCTGTAAAACTTACAAATATATAACTTTCCGTCAATTCTGTAAGAGGTTGACTCTGTCAGATCTTACCTCTGACATGCATCATGTATGCTATTTAAGAAAAAAATAAATCTCTGGGAGGTTATAGTCCAGTCAATATGTGCTTTGACTCAGAGAGAATTGCAATAGTAACCATTCAGGGTTTTAAAAATTATTCTATATATATATTAAAAGTACACCATTATATACTAAATGGATCAAAGTAAATTTAGGGGTTGACATTTGGGGCCTTTGTGTCACATCATCACACCAAGAAGTGTGAATCTCTGCCATCGAATGAGGGGGTTGGTGTCATCTGTAAAAGGACAGCCCTTTGTTTCAGTGTTGTCTCACAACTTTTTGTACCTTGAGCACATCTGTGTCTTTCTGAGGATTGTGAACATCAGTCCCTGCTAGTCTCAGTCCATCCCCCAACAGGTGTATGAAACGTGTTGTCATTATATGACAGAAACTCCTGCTTTTTCAATCTCAGTGACATAGCTGATGTGAATGAAACCTTCCAGCCAGTCTTTGTATTCCTCTGTACAGGCACTATACTTTGTAGATAGCTGGCTGCTTTACCCATCAAATATTATCACCACTGATTGCCCATAATGTTTTCAAACATAACAAATTTACGTTTCCACTATTGCACCAAATGTTTTTCCTATCTTCCAGGGTAGTCTGTGGAGGAGAACCCCTCATCTAAGACCTACAGGATGTCTCTTTCTAGCACATCACCAGGAGGCAAAGTGTCCCAGATTGCTTTTGCATTTTATGAAAATTTAAATATACTACTTTAATGTATTGAAAAAAAGATAATGATAATAAGACTAAAGATGCCTAAAGATGTGAATAGAACCAGTAAGCCCACAAACATTCCATATCTCCAACCCTTCATGTCCCCTGTGCCAGGATTCCCTACATACGTGTCAAACTTGAAAGGCTGATGACATTATAGATGCTAAACATATGTCTATACAAAAGAACTTATACCCAGTTTAGATGCAGATACATCCATACCACGATTGACCCTAAAATCTTAAAAAGACACCAAATGTTTTGGATAGGTTTGCATAGACATTCCAATATTAACACGATAATACCCAAACCGTGTTACTGTTAAATGTTAAAAATTTGCTTTTGACCTTGAAAAAGAACATGTTCCACTAAATCCATGAAGACCTACTGTTCGTATATGATTCAGAAGGGTATTTGGACCAATAAAATGTTCTCCTGGTTGAGACATTTTTTGAGTTAGATTAACTGGACTATAAGCACAGGGTTTAATAGTCCAGATGTTGATCTTATAAAGTATATTTTCCCAGCCTGATTGAAGAGTAAAAACTCCAACCAAATTGTCCAAATTGTCATGAATGACTGATAATCTAACCCATAATCACAGGTTTCTGACAGCACTGGATTGGACTGAATACTAGTCTGTCTGGGGTCCACACAGAATTACAAGCATAAACACCATGTGCATGTATGTCCCATGTCATCATGCATCCTTACATCCTTAAGTAGCATAGGTGGAATTACCAGTTCTTTGCCCTTGACCGCTAGTGCATAGATCAATTTACAAAGTCTTGGGCATGACTTTGTTTTTGTGAGTGACAGTGGAATGACAGTACCTGAGTGCAGAGAGGTTTATTAAGAGGCCTGTGATTCCTCTAAATAAGTAATGAATGCACAAAGAATGGCAGATGTGATATTTCTCCAGCAGCAACATCACAGCTATGAGGGTAATGATACTGAACACCAGGTGTCACTGCAGTGCAGCATAAGACATAACTTTTCATGCATCTTCTTCAAGTCCTCGGCTAAAATTAACCTATAAAGTCAGGAAAAAGGGATGTGAGAGTTCTAAGCTGGGCCAAAAATAAAAGTCAACCCAGCTGTGTGTATCTTTGAAAGCCAAAAAAGTGCCACATTAAATAAGTCTAAAGCAGGCTAAACAGTTTGCAACGACTGGCACACACTAACACATTTAATAAAGGAACACAATCCAAATAAAGGTGAGACTGTTGACATCAGCTGTGTAAAAGTGGGTATCTGTATTTGAGGCACACATGTGGCAAAAACATACAAAACATATACAATACCTGACAGGTGAAGTGGTAAAAATCTTATATGGGCTAAAAATATTTACATTCCTTCAAGGTTATACAACGCATAAAAACATAAAATTACATTCCCATACTGAACACTAAAGAAAATGTGAAAAGATATGTATTGTGAACAAACCCTGATATGCTGGTATCAATCCATTCATCCTAATGTAATATAATGCAATATGTGGCCCAATCTGCTCTGCTTTTCACAGGTTTGAGGTAAAGATCTAAGACTGTTTTCATGCACTCAACACATACTATTATCCAATTATATTTGTTAAAATCCATGTTAGTGGACACTTCTCATTTTCCAAGATAATCCATCAACCTGACAGGTGTGGCATATGCTGATAAAACAGCATCATTACTACACAGGTGCCCTGGGATGGTCAGAATAAAAGGTCACTCTAAAATGTGTGCAATTTGGCATGCTGACTTCAAGAATGTCCACTGGAGCTGTTGTCCATGTACATCAACAACAACAACAACGTTGATTTTACTACCATAAGTGGTCTCCAATGTAATTTCCTTCAATTTTGCAGTACTTCCAACCATCTTCACAACCACAGATCACGTATAACACAGTGCATTCTCATCCCAAGTCACCGCTTTGTCAGTGGCCTTTCACATCTAAATATTACACGCTAGGTATCCTTATCTGCTGCTGACGTTCTGGGCAATGGGAAACAAAAGCACATGGTTAAGTTTAGAAAAAGACATCATGGTTTGGCTCTACATTCACACAGTAAGCGAACACTGGGCTGACAACTTCGGAACAAGAACGGGCTGTGTAGCCACACTAGCTCAGCATGTCCACATCCAGTTCACTTCCAAGAATGTCTGAGACCAGCCACCCGAACAGCTGATATTACTGATATTACAATTTCTGCACAAACAGTCAGAAACCGTCTCATGAAAGCTCATTTGTATGCTTGGTGTCGTTACCAGGGTATTGACCTGACAGCAGTTTGTCATAGTAACTGACTTGTGCAGATGTGAGGACGGTTGGATGAACTGCCAAATTAAAATAAATCTATCGAGTGCATTAAAGAAAGTCTAAGATCTTTGAGTGAAACCTGTGATAAATCGAAGCAAAAACAAAAATATTGTGGTTAAATTTTTGTTCAGTAAAATCCATTCAAAATTATCTACAAACTTGATATCATGCACGTGTTATTCCGGAGACATTTTAATTGAACTTCTATAGGCAGGAAGTGTCTGCGTATACATGAAAGAGGTGGGATTTGTAGCATAGAGACAAGGGTTCAGCTTCATTATTTGTTTTTGTTAGCTTTCCACAAAAATTCCATTGTAAGATAGACTGATAGTAACAGCTTCATAACTTTACTTGATCCTCCACCAACTTTGGATGGCCCTTATTAAATCAGAGGGGGAAAAAATCCCCATTCTTCCTCCAGGCCATCCTCCTCCTCCCCTCATGTTTCTGGGCATAGCTAATGTCCTAAAATGGTCTTATTGTTTTGCTGCTGTATGATTTATAAAATCCTGTGGTTTCTCGAATGAACTGTCAGTGACTTCATTTGTGTATTTCCTTGTAAAGAATAGTGGTTTGGACTGTGTCCCCTCCGCCTCCATCACTCTGCATTTTTTCCAAGACAACTGGCATTCAGCATTATGTTGCTGGGAATCTGCTTGTGGTCAAAATGAAACTGTGAGCATGAAGGAAAGAAAACTAGATTAGAAATGGGAAGAAATGGTGTGTAGTAACCTCTGAACATACAGTATGATATGCTGTGGGTGGATTACATGCAAAAAAAAACAAAAGACTACCCACATCCTTAATCTTCTATCATCTTACCAAATGTCCTTTCATTAACACCAGACCTGAAGGCTGTCTTGATGGAACAGCATGATATATGGAATTATAAGATAACCCTGCAGAGGCTTTTATCTGAAGACAACAAAGAATAAAAAAACACAATGACTCTTTGCACAAATAGTTTTTCTTAAAGCTGTGAAACACAAAAATTATCGTGGTTGAAAAGGATTCCTTTCCTTCTTTCTTAGCACATAATGTAACATATTTTTCTCCTTGCTGAATGAATCAGTCCAGGTAATTCAGTTATTCGCCTGTTCAACCAGCAGCTCTGTCTCTAACAATCCAGCAAACAAATTAGATGCTCTCATGCTGAAAGTTTCACCAAGAGGTTGAGACTACATCCAATCAGATGGTCTCGTACAGCAGCATGCCACTGAAGATGGTCAGGGGTTCAGAGGAGTAGGCCAGTTTGCCAGTGACAAGGTCGATGCAGACTGTATCCCCTGCCTCCAAGGGCAGGATGATGTTGAAGACAGCCAGAGCCCCAGGGATGTGTTTGGCCTCTGCCATGGGCTTCTCCAGGCCTTCAGGCTGATACCCAGCTGAGTCCACTCGGGCCACACCAGTGTTGGACTTGGACAACACAGCCTCGATCTTCATGTTCTTATGGCCCGTAAGGATGCCGCTGAAGAAGTACTTCCCACTCACTGGAGCTGTGAAATACCCTGGAAGATGAAAGCAGGTAACATGGAAGACTTAATATTATGTATTTGCTGGGTCATGAGGAGCTCCTTATTTCATCAAAAGTTTGCTGGGATTCTTGTTGCTAAGTAGCTTTCATAAACTTTGGAGGTCAATTAAATAATTACAGTTGAATCACATTAATAGACAATGCATGAAAACAATATTTTAAAAGGTCAGATTAGATAGTTTTGTTTTTATATGCCAGGTTTTATCTGGTCAGAAAATAAAGAAAATGGTTATGAAGACTTAATTTTGCCATCAGTAACTGTGTTCACTGACAGCTGTTTACCTGATCTGGAGAACAATTCATCAATCAGAGAAGGATGATAAGGCTCTTTTCTGTGCTGGCTACCTCCCTACAGTCATGAAAAACAGCAACAGCAAAATGGCTACAGGAGTGCATCAGTAGCTGAGTGGTTACAGCGCATGTCACATTATCGCATCGTCCCGGGATTGATTCCAGCCCTTGGACCTTTGTTGCATGTAGGGTTGCAACAGTATGAGATTTTCACTGTACAATAACCATCTCAGAAAATATTGTGGTATCATGTTATTACAGAATTTTATTATTATCAGTCAGAATGACCCTTAGAGGAATAAGAAACAGAAGGGTTTTCTTTGGCTAAACAAACATTTTATTACTTAATTGAGTGTTTTTGCAGAACATTATGATGTCACAGTGAAGTTGACCTTTAACCATTTGGATATAAAATGCCATAATGTCACCATTTTATCCTATTAGACATTTGTGTTAAATTGTGTCAAAACTAGTATATGAATTCCCAAGATATTACCAAAAACATGCTATGTGAGGTCACAATGACTTTGATCTTTGAACACCAAATCTCATCATTTCATTCTTGAGTCCAAGTGGACATTATTGCCAAATTTGAGTAAATCTTCTCTAGCAGTTGTTGAGATATCACATTCATGAAAATGAGATGGACGCAAGGTCACAGTGATCTTGACCTTTGACCATAAAATTCTAATTAGATCTTTGTTGAGTCCAAGTGGACATTTGTGCCAAATTTGAAAAAATTCTCTCAAGGCATTTCTGAGTTATCGCTTTCATGAGAATAAGATGGACATGAGGTCATAGTGACCTTGACCTCTGTCCACCAAATTTTAATCATTTTATCCTTGAGTCCAAGTAATGCCTGGTTTACACTACACAACATTTTTGTCTGTTCTGACAGTCACTATGTCAGATTAGGCGATTGTTGAGTCATAAAACAGTGCCATGACTTGGCCAACAGACATGACAGACTACACAATGGTCCACACCAATCATTCCCGGTCATCTTTCACAACATGTGTGATGTCATCAGGTTATTCTTGTCCTGTTTTTATCATTATTATTATTACTATTCACGTGCCAGCCGAAAGGTTGTTGTAGTAATGTAAAAAGTGCCACCAGAGGGCAGGTGGTACATTTGAAGTACCGCATGCAAATATGCAAGTCACTGAATCCTCCACAACAAGTTCCTGAAAATGTTTCACAATAAAAGTCTGTTTGAAAAATTAAGAAATTCTCTCAACCAAAGTTATGAGGGGCGTTTAATTTTATACAGATACAGGAAATGTAGAGTTTGAAATGATGGCGCGATGCATTAACTTTATCAAGACAAATGGGAGTGGATACAAAGTAAAAATATAAAAATACAGAGGGAATAATAAATAACGGCCAGTTTATAATGTAGCCTTTTTCAAATGAAGCTGGTACCCTCTGCAGGTCTGGTGAGCAAAAGCCCAGCCACTATTTTTTAATTTTATTACATTATGTCCATCTTCATTATGAAGAAGTAACATTGTTTACTAGCTTGATGCTAATGGTAGCACTCAGCGGGTTGATAAAGTGCCTCTGCTGTTTCACCCCATCCTTTTTCCCTTTTTACTCTGTGTGGAAACATCTCTAGAGGAAATATCAAAAAGGCTGGGGTGTTGTTGTACAGTTATCCACAGCAGTAGATCGCTCTGTGTTTCTACTGGTCAAAGCGACGGCTGTGACGAGAGCAGTCGTGAACGACAAAAAGAAAATCAAACATGCTAGAATTCTGTCAGGATGTCGTGAGGCGTTCCAGACGTGGCGTCAGTTGTCGTCTACTATGACACACTACACGAGATGAAATGATGGATTATCGCGTACAACACTCATTGTCGTTCACAATCCTGTACGACGCTGTGTCGGGCTATAATCAGGCTGATATCATGTAGTGTATACCCTGCATAAAGGATTGAGCCAAATTCGGAGAAATTCCCTCCAGGTATTCCTGAGATATTGCGTTCACTGTTTGCATGGCTATTAGGGGTGTAACAGTACACAAAAATCTCGGTTCGGTACGTACCTCGGTACACAAGTCACGGTTCGGTTTTTTTCGAAACAGTAATGAAAAAAATAGACAACTATTAAATATCTTTTACTTATTGGTAACCTCATTAAAACATACCACCACAGCAGTTAACTCTTTTTACACAATTTTTGAATGAAACAAATATATATAAAATCCTGCTTTTTAACATTGTTTGAATGAAAATAGAAATATAAAAGTGAAAAATAAAATCCTGCTGTTTTTTTAACACATTTTTTGAATGAAAAATATAAATATAAATTGCTGCTTTAACAGTTTTACTCAATTAAAATAAAAAGTATAGTGCAGCTGGTCAGCTTTAAAGCCTGCTCAGATTCAGTTTTACTAGGAACTTACTTAGCTTTCCCACTTTGTTAAAGTGCAGTAAACAAAACATGCTTGTATCTAAAGTGCAGCTTAAACAATTTTACTCAACTCCAATGGCGTTGATTATTTCTTTAGCACGATTGTCAGGGAAACGCTCTTTCTTTTTAAACGACGATGATATCGTAGTTTGCACCAGATTGCTTTTTCTAGTCATGCCGGTTAACGTTCAAACTCGGGTGGTGTCGCTTTAGATGCGTTAGCACGTTAGACGTGTTTCCAAGTACATACCCGACCGCTGTTCTGCAGTGTCGACACAGCTTTTGTCTTGTCAACTTGTTTATTTCCATCTTCGTATTTTACCCTGAAACCAAAGTGTTCCCAAACGGAGGACTTAAGGTTTGTGGGTGGGTCTTCAGATTCGTCAGGCTCACTTGCCATGTTGTCAAAATGCGAGAATGCGCTGCACAAAGTGAAAACGGAGATTTATGGGACTCGGTCCGTCACTCAATTATGTCCGTCGGGGAACTAGATATTTTAAATGGTTCGGCTCGCAAAAACGGAATTAAAATAAAACAAAATAAAATAAAATAATATCCTGCGCCCAATAATTCGGTACAGGGTCGTGCCGAACCGGAAGTCGCGTACCGAACGGTTCGACACAAATACATGTACCGTTACGGCCCTAATGGCTATGGTGATGGATAAAATACATTTATTTTATAATTTGGGTGAACTGACCCTTTAAGTTCACATGAAAAAGACTTATTTTTCCTTGGTGTAATTTTTAAAAAAGACAGTAATACTCTTGGCAGGCACCAGTTAAAATTCCAACCAATCTAAAGCTTACCTGTTCTGGGATTGTAGACATTATTTTCATTGACAAAGACCTCATTGAACACTATGGTTCCTGCGCTTCTCATTGGACGAGTCAGCGCCGCAGAGAAAGAAAGGCGTGGAACGTGTGCATCAGACCCTGCAAGACCTGATCATGGTGGAGAGAAAAAGAGTAGGAATTAGTAAGAAACAAAGATCAAACAGTAATAAGTGCTTTGATCTGCTGGTTAGTAAGAACAAAACATACCCTGTTCGCCTCTGAGACCTGAGAAGTATGAAACACAAAAACATTGAGTTAATCATCCAATTGTATCATTCTTTCTGTTTATTTTTTATCCCTATCAGAATGTATCCACAGTCGACGTGAAGAAAGACAGATCAAAGATACACCTTGTGATTTAAACAGTGTAATCAAACTCAAAGACAAAGTTTGTTGTCTTTACCTGGGGGTCCAGCTGGTCCCTGCTTGCCCTCTCTACCTGGGAGTCCTACCGTCCCTTGGGGTCCGACAGGACCCTGGGCTCCGCGCTCACCTCTCTCTCCTTGAGGGCCCGGGAGACCAGGTGGACCTGGGGTAGAAGGATATTTGATGAGACATCCCAGCTGGGAAACACCCTTCTGAAAATCCTCTTTACCAGTAACTAGTAGGTTTAGAGTATGACAAACCCCCCCAAAATCTTTCAATTTTTCTTTTTAAAAAATCTCATTTTTCAAAGTCTCATGAAACCTTCAAACCACAAAATACAGACCTCAGGCATTCAGACAATGTATGACTTTCACAGATACATAATACAATTTGCAGAAAGTGCTCACCATCCAGTCACCCAAAAAATGCAATTCACACAGAAATCTCCAAGTGTCAAAAGTTTTTGATACCAAACCATTGCCTAGATTTTTCTACAGTGTTCTTAGAGGTCTTGATGTCTTAATGTGGTATTTTGGAGGGATTTTGTGTGGTCATAAATGGTCACAATTTGCACCAAGTCTGTGATGGCATCAACCCAAAAATTGGTGCAACTCATGAGACGTATTTGAGGATGGGAATGGCATCATATACTTTCATCATAATGTTCTAAGCCCCTATGCACTCTAAACTCTTATAGTTCGAACAGGCGCTAACCAATCACATTTTAAGAACTTGACACACTTGAGCTGCATCGCAAATTAATCTTCTGCTTCACTTCCCTGCTTTTAGATAAGTATACCACATCCATGTGGCATATACTGTTGACCTGCTATATCCCTCTTAAGATCCCATGCCTCCTAGAAAAGACAAAATGGAACTATATATACAGCTCTCATACCACTGTGGTTAATTATAATAAACTATAATGATAAATCATATAATAAAACAATATCTTTATGCAGGCATATCCTGTCAAATTTAACCATCATTGTTCTTTGCTTGTAGGTCTTAGCATGTCCAAAACTTGGTCCACAGCCAGATAAAACACTGGAAACACTGCATTTTGTGTGAAAAAGAAACTGGCCCATTTGTGGTGCTTACAAGATTAGATTCTTAACCTCCATGCCTGCAACCAAAGAGCAAGCATAGGAAGAAGAGTAATGTTCCAGTTGATCATTTGATTCTTGGACCCTGCAATCTACATGTTGAAGTGTTGTTGGGAAAGATACTGATTTTTTTGTCACTCTTGATGAGCAGATCAAAAACGTGTTATGTGAGGTCACAGTGACTTTGACTTTTGACCAACAGATTCTCATCAATTCATTCTTGAGTCTAAGTGGATGTCAGTGCTAGATTTGCGGAAATCTCTAGGTGTTGCTGAGATATCACATTCACGAGAATGACAAATGGGAGGTCAGAGTGACCTTGATCTTTGACCACCATATTCTAATCTGTTCATCTTAAAGTCCAAGTGGACATTTGTGCCAAATTTGAAGAAATTCTCTCAAGGTGTTCCAAAGTTATCTCTTTCATGAGAATGGGATGAACATGAAGTCACAGTGACCTTGACCTTTGTCCACCTAAGTCTAGTGATTTTCTCCTTGAGTCTGATTGAAGGACAGTTGGACATACAACGTAATGAAGTGTTGTTGGGAAAACTACTGAACCCCCCCCCCCCCTCCCCCATCAGTGTGTAAGTGTGCATGTGGGTGTTTGTCTCTCCTGATGAGTAGGTGGCACCTTGTATGGTAGCCTTGGCCACCACTGTATAAATGAGCTGTGAATGGGTGCATGTTAACTTGTGTTGTAAAGCCCTTTGAGTGGTCGCTGAGACTAGAAAAGCCCTACATAAATGCAGTCCATTTACTATTTACAACTGCACAACATAAACTCTGAAAAACAGTAATGCTTACTGGCATAGCAAGTGTTACTCCAGTGCCACCAATAAAGTTCACATGCAGCATGCTAGAGACTGCTACCAACATTCCCCGTCTGCTGCAAGGACAAGGCGTGTCCACATGATTTTTTTAGTTGATGTGAATCTCTGAATAAATAAATGTATGGTTTGCCACCAGAAGTAAACATCTGCATAGCTTGGAACCTGACATTTTGAAAAATAAGTGTATTGATCGTTCATCATTTTTAAAATAGATTTTTTTTTTTTTTTTAAATTAAATATTAGTTTTTATATTTCTTATATTCCAAGATTCCAAAAAAAAAAAACAACAAAAAACTGACAGTTAGTGTCAGTTAGGTCAGCAGTTGCTTGGTAGGCTAATTAATTCATCCACTGTCAAACAGCCAAAAATATGGATTTATTTCCTAAAATAAGTTTTGAATTGAACTATGAATGGTCATCAGAGGAAGATGAGGGAAAGGAGAAGCTGAATCCATCTGAGCACACATCCAGGTTTGTCAGTGTTTCATCAGCGGAGCTCAATGACTTGGAGAAAAGCAACATACTGTCAGATCAGAAGGCAGAGTTGGCTGTGCCTGTGAAGCGACAGTCCACCATGCAGTCACCAGAGACTTATTTCACCGGCTCCACAATTAATGGAGATAAATGTGTATAAAGAGTAAGTGCCTGGCGCACCATGTCTGCATTACATAGCAACGGTGACAGCGGAGTCCTGAGGGAACTATTTTTGTTGGCGGAAGACAAATAAAATGCTTAAATTATCTATTTTGTCCTCATTTTTCAACATTTCTTAATCAGCCTTGCTTATTTAACTGTTGTATAAAAGCAATATCACACTCGAGCTCGTGATGTTGTACTGTGATATCGTCACGGCTGTGATTGTCTTTGGCACTCGGCCTGCGGCCTCGTACAACATCACTCCTTCTCGTGTGATATTGTTTAATTAACTCCCCAAGAATTTTGAACCAAACACAGAGACTAACTAGTTCCTCTAAAATGAATTCTATAAACATGAACAGTAAGCCAAGAAAGCTAAGACATTTAACCTGGTGTGCCTTAGGATGTACCTTTCACCCTCATGTTTACTGAAACTTCTCTTTCAGACAGATTGCAGACTTTATAGGCTCTTTAAGTGATGACAGATTGGATTCTTTCTTTGGTCTATTTTTCCCTGACCTTGCCTCCCTTCGGCTGAGTGCTATCTCTTGTCCAAAAGTCAAATCCCATGCCCTCTGTCCACTGCAACTCACCCATGAAGTCCTGCTCTATGAAACTGTGGAACTCCTTGACCAAGTCCACCACTGAAGAGTTCAGTCTGTGTATGTCGGAGTGGACATTCTCCAGCTGGACGTTCTGGATATCATCGATAAGATCTCCTTGAGACGTTACCGTGACATTGAGTCCATTAACACAGCTCCACAGCCCAGACACATGTCGGTCCAGACCCTCCTTGATCCTCTCCAGGCTGTCTGAAAAAGAGTCCATGCGTGTGCATACTTCCTCCAGCTTAGAAAGTCTTCTGTCCAGACCATCGCTGGACCGCCGGCACTCCCCGATCTCCGTCACATAGTTGCTCCTAATTATTTTGATCTCTTTGCCCAGACTGCCAAATCGAATCTTGGAGTCATCAACATGATCTGTCAGCTCCTTCTGCAAATTGTCCACCTTGTAGAGAATGTAGATACTTGTTAATGTGTGTATTTTGGACAACGTTTGACAAAAGTTCTACTATAAATATATCTTTTACTCAATCTATGCTCCAATTTATTTTTCTATGGTATCTTATACACACAAAAATATGTAAGCATATTATCCAAGCTATGTCTGTCAAGAAAACCCAAATGTTTATAATATACTCAAATATTTTCCTTACTATAAGAATATTATGTGAAGACACTGTTGCCAAGATAGCCATTAGGAATGTTTGAGTGACATAGTGTTGTTTTCAAAGTCCATAAAGAAAAGTTCTGTTTCAATAGATACAGTTTAATGCTCTGATGAAGGTCAAGTAGACTGAAATCTTAAGAAAAAGTGGTACGGAAATCTTTTTTTTTACCAATACCGCACAGATCAGCACAATTACCATCATCTTTATAAAGGTAGCTTGAGCTTTCCTGTTTAATTCTGATCTATGTATTATAGTACGATGCTTCCCAAGCTTGGGCTCTGGACCCCCACAGGGGTCATGAGATAAGTCAGAGGGGTCATATATTCAGAAAGGAACAGGGGGGAACCATATTATGCCACACAGATTATCATTATTTTTTATACGTTTTTTTTTTTTTGGCCAAATTAGCAACATGGCTCAAGCCAGCAGCAGCCTCCAAGGCCGAAAAATGAAATCACAGTGGAAGTGCCAAAAACTGCAGTTCACTGAATGGCTAATTTAGGCTGGCTCCAGTAGCCAGTCAATCACATATTAACACATTTTGTACCAGCCTAGTACAAAAAAATACATTTTAGTCTCCAAACCGTTTCATCTCGTCTTGCTAATGGTTAACGTTAGCCTACCGTGGCGTAGCCTCTGAAACATTAACGTTATCTTCCTTGTGCGTTTCCACTTACTAGTAACGTTAACGCTACTATGTAACATTAGCACTGTTACCTTATTCTAAAACTCATCAATCATCACTGACTCCAGGTGAGTTTTAAAACTCTAGGGTTGCGTTTGACTGTCTGCAATCAGCAGCGTGTTACGGCCTATTTCCACCAGATGCGTGTTGGTTGCGTCTCCGCTCCGGCACGGCAGCGGAGCCGATAGGATTCAATTCTAGTCAATGTGTGTGTTTCCAACGGCTGCGGCTGTGCTGCGCTCCGGCTCCGTCTCAGCTGCGGCACTCCGGAGCCCTCCGCAACAGATATGCAGGACTTCTATTTCTGCCGGACGCCGGAGCACTACGCAGCAATTCAGCACAGAGCAGTTCGTGCGGGGCAGGAAGTCGTGCACAGAAACAAAATAAAACATCCGGTTAATTTTCAAAATAAAACACACAGTGTTCACAGCAGATCATATTTCCCTGCACTACACCTTGAAAACTACATAATGGGTAGAGGCAGGCCTGAAGTCAACAGTTCAGAGGTTTTCAGACGTCATTTCACCCCGTTGACACCATGGACGAGGAGATATTAATCATGGCAGTGCACCGAGATGTCTTCCGGCGAAGCTGCACCGCTCCGCACAGCAAACGCAGCCGGTGGGTATTGATGGACGGCAGAGCACGCAGCGGATAACCAGCGCTGCCGTTCCGCAAAAGACACGCATCCAGTGGAAATCCGGTGTTACACTCGCTCTTCTCTTCCGTGTATCTAACGTTACCTTGCCAACACCTACATCTATCATAGATAGATGGATGGAGGAGGGGGGAGTAGGCCTTTGGAGGGAGGTGGTTTTGCAGGAGGAGGGGGATGGGACTTTGGAGGGAGGCAGGAGTTGTGGATGTTCAATTTTTTTCTAAATGCTGTGTGAAATGCAAGAAAAGTAAGAGTAGCTTTAACCACAAGATGATTATTTCAGGTATTTAACCAAAAACCCATTGGCTTTGAGATGAGAGAACCAGGAGTGCAAAAATGCCAACTCATTTCAGTGTTTAAGCACTCATTTCTGGGGCACTCTTATCTGATTCTAGGGGTTTTTTCACCAACATTCTATATTTTTCCCACCACAATTCCCGGCAGCATGGAGAAGGCTTTGAAACAGTACCTTTATGTCCAATAAAATGGATCTATATGTCTAATACATTTCTGACGAAATTGCCTGGGAGGAATTATGTAATCTGGTACTAACTGTAGGAAAATAGAGATAATGTTCAGATAAAATTAGAAGAGGTTAGTTGTGTACCTTACCTCAGAAATTATGTTGTCCTTGGTGTTGGTCAGATCAGTCAGTGTGTTCCCATGCGTCTGTATAGTCCTTCCCAGGCCCTTCAGAGTGTCATTGATAGAGTTAAATGTGACCATGACCCCAGCCAGCTCTCCTTGGATGGACTTCAGATCCCCACCTAATCTTCCACTATGGACACCGTGACTGTCCAGGCGTTTCTTCAGATCATTGATGTTGACTTTACATTGTCCAGTACACTCCTCCACATCCTCTCTGAGTCGTCCTACCTCCTCCTGAAGGTTGGAGCACACCTGAGAGCAGACAGATTCTTCTGAGTTGACCTTTCTCCGTAGATCTGTAAGTTCTGTCTGGCACTTGCTGAGGCCGCTCATAGTGGAGTTGGTGAGCAAGCGCAAATCCTCCTCTACGCTGCTACAAATAGAACAGTCCTCAAAATCACGGCCCAATGTTTCAACCTCTGTGACAATCCGGTTGAAATTTTCTCCGTTCTCCCCCGTCACAGCTATTATCTTTTTGACATCGTCTGTTAAGCTGATCACTCTGTCAATCAGCGAGTCCCCTGAAACTGACAGATCGTCTAACTTGGTGTTGAACTTCTGAATCTCCTCTTCATTAGCCACAACTCTCCACTCTAAGGTTTTCACAGTGTCGTCAGTCTTCTGGACTTTTCCATTAGCCCCACAGGTCTCATTGCAGATGTTTGCGATTGATGTTAGCCTTCTGTCCAGGTACGTTGTGATGTTCTCCATCTGACTTAAACGCCGGCTGTGGTCAGTGACTGTATCTCCCAGAACAGACACGTCCAGTTCTATCTTGCCGATCTTGAAGCTGTTATCATCCAGCCGACTGAGGACCATGTTGCGCAGCTGTGTGACGTCTCTCTGGACACTGTCTTTCACATTGTTCCCTGTGTTTGTACACCGCTGCTCCGTCTTCCTCACTGTGTTATTCACCTTCTTCTCCAATTCTCTCAGTCTGCCATTCAATCTGTCCTCTGTCACTCTTCCCTTTCCTCCACTTGTCCCTGCTAGCTCCTTATCCAGTCGTCCTTTAATAGTGTCACATTTGTTAGCAGTGGAGGTGACATGGACCTCCAGATCAGACATCCTGTTCTCCAGCTTAGTGACTGTGGTGCAGCAGGCCTGGGAGCGTTGAGTCTCACTGTGGGAGATGTCCAGGCTCTGCCTCAAGTGTTGGTCCATGGAGCTGACCAGTTTCTCCAGGGCTTGGATCCGCTCCCTGTCCTCTTGCTGCTGGCGCCTCAGGTCCTCCACACCAGCCTGGAGAAAACAGAGATCACAAGGACTGGAATTAATTTGCTAGTTGTATAATTTGTTTCTATAATATATTAAGGTTTTTGGCAATTTGTCTATGTCCCCAATTTTTTTATTCCAAATTCATTTTTAAAAGTAATTTGAATCATAAGGTGTTTTTGGACTAAACAGTTCGGGGACTCCCTAAAAGGTACTGCCACTGGTGAGCTCCTCCAAGAATTTCATACCTTCAGCGTTTCTTTTCTGTTTTCATTTACATATGCAATGTGAGCCAGCCAGGTATAGCAGGAAGAGCAATGTCACTTTCACTTTGGTGAGTCAAAATCATGTATTTCCACCATTGCATAAACTGCATGTTAAATACTGCCTGGACTTTACTGTCAGCCCATTTGTCTGTGTTTTCTCCCATTTTTTTTTTTACAAGCTGTTGTTTGTGTTTTCCTACGAAAAGCAATGCACCCAAATTCGTATATATCTGCAATCACATGACCAATGCACTGACGGCAGTTAACAAGGAAGCAGTTCTGTGTCCTTGTAAAGAGGCAGGTTGGGGTGGTGGATGGGCTACAAAAAATTGACCTTTTTTTTATTTTCGAACTTTTTTGATCATACAAACTGTTCCATGAGAATAGGTTGCCTCCAATTTGTACCAATTATTGGCAAATCTTTGTCAGCTAAGAAATCACCTTATTTGTTTGGGGATTTTTTTTTGTATAGCACCCATGGATAGATTAATGAATGCACAGACTCAATACCAGTCACTGTTTTTAACAATAAATAACCTCTGCTTTAAGAAAATGGAACCTGCATCACAGTTTTTTTCTTTGATGCATTCCTATAAAACTCTGGATAGTATACTTAAGTATTTTGTATACTATGTGTGGAAAGTCAGCCCAGTCCCCAGAATGAAATGCTGGCATAGTACAACTCTGCAAACTGCTAATATGTTACATTCAGATGTTTTATTTGTATCATATCAACATTTCTAAACTTATATGAGCTGACTTTGTCATCTGGAGGTTCAGGGGATAGTGGATGATGTGAAACCTAGGCAAGACACCTGCCAAGCTGCAAACCAAAAAACAACAAATGTGGTTGTGTTTAAGTGAGTCATCACTGTGTTTCAAGCTGCTGTTCTGTTTCAAATGTGGGTGTTTTTTAGTGAAACGTGGTTGATTTTCCAGCAGGAATAGTGCCACCAAAAGTGGTCATTTTTCACAGTGACATCACTGTATTTCAAGCAGCTGTTGTGCTACAAATGTGGGTGTTTTTTAGCGACATATCATTGTTTTTCCAGTGGAGATAGGGCCATAAAAAGTGGTCATTTTTTACAGAGACATCACTGTGTTTCTTGCCAGTGTCCCCAAAACTTTCCCTCAACATAACCATCTTGTGCTAACCTAACCCTAGCCTAACCCTCCATTTCTTTCAAACCACTAGAAAATTGTGTTTGGTCATGTTGCCACTGTTTTTTTTTCTATTTTTCTTTTACTGCTTTTGTGTTATTTGTTGTTAGTGCAGCGGCCTATGTGGGAATGTTGTTTTCTTGTTTTTTACTGCATGGATGTGGCTGATTTTATATTTTAGTGCTTTAGGCAGCAGAAATCACTTACAGAAGGCCACAGGGAACAAAGTCAAAACATTAAAATTTTACAACCACACAAACTACAACTAGACATTACACAGGGTGACATCTAAAAATGTCTCTAACAAAATCAAATAAGGATTTTTCTATGCTGAACCTCACCTGACAGGCAGAGCAGGACAGAGTCACCCTTGTCTCCAGCTCCGTCAGTATCTCCTCCTTCAGGGTGTTCAGCTGGTTTCCCCCAATTCCTCCTCTGACCACTCCATCCAGTTCATTGCCTCCTCCGTTCACCAGGTGGTTGTTGATGTTAAGCAGGGTCTGGTCATGGACCTGAGCAAGCAAATGTCCACAGTGTCATTCAGACTGTTCATCCTTGGATTTGATTTCAGAATAACCCTACTGACTGTAAAGAAAGAAGGAAATGCTGTTTACCTGGGTTCTGTTGTAGAGATGGTCCAGCTTGGTCTGGATGTTGTTGATGGTTTCCTTCATCTGTGGCTGAGCTGAATCAGCAGGGACCACTGCCCCATTCAGACCAGGCCTATAGAGAAGGAGAGTAGAGATTTCCTCAGTTTTTGGTTAACATTTGTCATATATGTTAAATAATATGAGACATCAAAGTGGAGGATGAAAGGATAATTGCCACATTGCGTGATTTGAAAATGTATCATACACAGGAAGTGTGTGTGGAGAGGATGGGTTTAATCTAAATTTAGCTCATTCTGCTTGTGCACAGTTTAGGTTAAAGGGCACATTCTGTATATTTATGTAGCATCCTATTAAGTTCTTATTGAGGATTAACTATTTATGTCTTCCTAACCTACCCTACCACAGCTCTGTATATACAGTATGTTAATAAGTGTATCCTCTCTCACTAAACTGAACTGCTGAAATAAACTGCAATAAATATACTAGAACGATACACAGTGTACTTAGATTCTACGGTACTAAACGTAAACAGGACTTTGGGATGCTTGCAAATACATTCCATGAAATAAAACATGTAGATGATGTACTGAAAACAACATTTACGTACAGCCTCTGGTTCATGCCGTGGATGGTGGTCTGCATGTTGTGGAGGTCTTTAGTCAGACCGCTGATCGTATCCTCCAGCTGTCTGATCCTCTCACTGTCACCTGGAGACAACGAATAACATATAGCTAATATGAAAGAGGATATGTGGTATTTAATTCTAATATACTGTATAATAAGTACTGCTTGCAAAATTCAAAGTCTAACTAGAATTACTGCTTCACGGTTGTATGCCTCCGTGCACAGATCAAGTTTCTCTTAGAGTTTACATCCATGTTTGTGAAAACATGGATGCCCCACACCCATTGTCCCCTGACAGCACAGAAGATCTATACAATCAGTACAGTTTCAAGGTGGACACCCAAGATGAGTGTCACGAATTCAGTATCTACCCAAATGTCTCCCTCTCTGTTCCTGAGATATGACATTGAATAATGGCCAGGAAAGTGTTTTATGATTAACATTATGAAGTCACAGTGGAGCTGACCTTTGACCTTTTAGAAATAAAATGTCATCACTTCATTATTGTATCCTTGTGTGTGAAGTTTTGTCATGATTAGCATATGCATTCTTGAGTTATAGCCAAAAACATATTTTGTGAGGTCACATTGACCTTGACCTTTGACCTTCAACCACAACATTCTGATCAGTTTATTTTTCAGTTTAAATGAACATTTGTGTCAAATTTAAAGACATTCCCTTACTTGAAATATTGCGTTCACGATAATGAGACAGACAAGGTCACAGTTACCTTGACCTTTGACCATAAAATTCTAATCAGTTTATTCTTCAGTCCAAGTCAATATCTGTGCCAAATTTGAAGAAATTCCCTCAAGGTGTTCTTGAAATGTCTCATTCACAAGAACGAGGCAAACAAGGTCATAGTGACCTTGACCTTTGACCCATGGCCACCAAAAAGTAATTGCTTCATCGATACATCCAGGTGGAGATTTGTGCCAAATTTGAAGAAATCTCCTTGAGGTATTCTTGAGATATTGTAGCCTCTGGCCACGGCTATCGCTGGTGCAGAGACATAAAAAGTATGCAACCAAATGGACTGAATCACAATGTTTGTTTACAGTAACTTACAGGTAGAAAACCCCTGTGTCCCATTAATACAATTTAACAGCCCAGAGCAAACAGTAGTGAGGATCAGCTAAGATATGACATGGTTAAGCCTTGTTGTGTATGGGGGTGCAGGGTAACAGTAAAGAGTGGGGAAGGGTATAGATTTTTCAGTTTCAGATCTGCGGGTCTCGTGTATCAAACTTCTTCTAAAATGACTGAAAAGGACTCTCCTTTTTTGAATTAATGTTTAAGCATGTTTATTTTAAATGCACATGTAGAAAAACCAGCTTCAGGGTTTCTGTAACGTTTATTTGTTCACTTTTATGAGTAGGCTACTGAACCCCTATAGATCGCTAAGCTAAGCCGCAATGCTAACCACTGAGACCCAGCCACTGGACGTACGGACACAAAAAAGATATCTATCATGTTGTCTCAACATGAAAATGATAGCGAAAGGGCATAACTCTGAATCGTCGGCGTATTCCTTTAATCTATGCTCTCTTCAAAGCCAGACTCCATTGACAAAAACAGTTTACCTAACTAAACAGGTAACCTCGCTGCTGTACTACAGCTACCTTGATCAGTTAGGTGTTTGTGTTATTGTGTGACTTTGGTGTTTTAAAGGGTTAGTTCACATTCAGCAAAGTCACACAATAACACAAACAAACTGACTGACTGAGGCAGAGGCAGACCAGCAGGTCCCCTGTTCAGGGAGGTTAGGGTTAAAAGTAAGGTTGCTGTTTTCAATGGAGTCTGGGCTTGAGGAGAGCATAGATAGAGCATAGATATCCCTGTTGTTAAATGTGGATATTTACTTCAGTCAAGTATTTATTTGTTTTTTGGATTCTTTGAACACAGTTGAGAAATGCAAGAAAAAACAAGATTCTTTACAAATTCAACATAACACAGATGAGTAATTGATATACAAATGGTCATTCCGGGGTAAAGTATTCCTTTAAGATACATGTGAGAAACTATGTACATGCTGTGCATATTTTGATACTTTTACACAAACTGAATTAAGTGTATCCTAATAACATAAAACATATTTTCAGTAGATGCCATTTGGATTTCATAGAGCTTTGTTGCAGTCTCTACCTTCTCCTCTCTGTCCGCCACCTGTGTTGTAGCCCGTCTGCGTGACGCGGGGTCGCCCTCCATTGACCTGAGTGTCAGTGGTTACCTTCGGCCCATCGTGGCAGTCTTCCCCAGAGTAACCATGGCAACACTTCCACTCCATTTCTGTCACCATTTTGTAAGCTACCTTGTACCTTGGCCTCCTGTATGTCCGGTAGCTGTGGATGAAATGGAAATTTCAGATATAAAATATCATCAGGACTTTTATTTGCTCTAATTTCAGATTTAACACCAATGACATGGATTCAATTCAATTCAATTTTATTCAATTTTATTTATAAAGCCCAATATCACAAATCACAATTTGCCTCACAGGGCTTTACAGCATACGACATCCCTCTGTCCTTATGACCCTCGCAGGGGATAAGGAAAAACTCCCCCAAAAAAACCCTTTAACGGGGAAAAAAAACGGTAGAAACCTCAGGAAGAGCAACTGAGGAGGGATCCCTCTTCCAGGATGGACAGACGTGCAATAGATGTCGTACAGAACAGATCAGCATAATAATTTAACAGTAATCCCTATGACACAATGAGACAGAGAGAGAGAGAGAGAGAGAGAGAGACAGAGACAGAGAGAGAGATGCAGGTAATGACAGTAGCTTACAACAACATTATTGAAAGTAATAATATTATAGTTATAGTTCTGGCTACTGTGGTACAATATGTTGAAAGTATGTATTAACATCTGGCAGTATACATGTGTGACAATAGTCATATGTGTATAATAACAGTAGAAGTATGACTAATGATGGCAGCAGCAGGAGGCATCTGGCAGCACAACCACACACGTCATGCTGTCCAGGCACCGCTGCGATATGAGTTAATCTGAGAGACAGTGGAGCACAAAGGCTCCGGAGAAGAAGCCGAGTTAGTGACATCCAGAATGGCCGAGTTAGCAAGATGCAGTAATAGAATACGAGAGAGAGAGAGAGGGAGAGAAGGTGCCCGGTGTATTATAGGGATTCCTCCAGCAGACTAGGCCTAAGTCAGCCTAACTAGGGGCTGGTAGAGGGCAAGCCTGAGCCAGCCCTAACTATAAGCTTTATCAAAGAGCAAAGTCTTAAGTCTAGTCTTAAATGTGGAGACGGGGTCTGCCTCCCGAACCGTAACAGGAAGATGATTCCACAGGAGAGGAGCCTGATAGCTGAAGGCTCTGGCTCCTGATCTACTTTTGAAGACTTTAGGGACCACGAGTAACCCTGCGTTCTCAGAGCGCAGTGTTCTGGTGGGATAATATGGCACTATGAGCTCTCTAAGATATGATGGAGCTTGACCATTTAGAGCTTTATAAGTTAACAGTAGGATTTTAAATTCAATTCTGGATTTTACAGGGAGCCAGTGCAGAGAAGCTAAAACAGGAGAAATATGATCTCGTTTCTTAGTTCCTGTTAGTACACGTGCTGCTGCATTCTGAATTAGCTGGAGAGTTTTTAAGGACTTACTAGAGCTACCTGATAATAGAGAGTTACAGTAATCCAGCCTTGAGGTAACAAAAGCGTGGACCAATTTTTCTGCATCTTTTCGGGTCAGGATAGGCCTAATTTTCGCAATATTACGCAGATGAAAAAATGCAGTCCGTGAGGTTTGTTTTAAATGAGAATTAAAAGACAAATCTTGATCAAATATTACTCCGAGGTTTCTTACGGTAGTGCTAGAGGCCAGAGCAATGCCATCTAGAGAAACTATGTCATCAGATAAAGAGTCTCTGAGTTGTTTGGGGCCAAGAACAATAACTTCAGTTTTGTCTGAATTTAACATCAGGAAATTGGTGCTCATCCAAGTTTTTATGTCTTTAAGGCAGTTATGGAGTTTAGTTAATTGATTACTTTCTTCTGGCTTCATCGATAAATACAACTGTGTATCATCCGCATAACAATGGAAATTTATAGAGTGATTTCTAATGATGTTACCTAAAGGAAGCATATATAGAGTAAATAGGATTGGTCCGAGCACAGAACCTTGCGGAACTCCAAAACAAACTTTGGTACGTAAGGATGATTCATTACGAACGTCAACAAATTGAAAACGATCAGATAAATAAGATTTAAACCAGCTTAGTGCTGAACCTTTTAGGCCAATTAAGTGATCCAGTCTCTGCAGTAGAATTTGATGGTCAATTGTGTCAAACGCCGCACTAAGATCTAATAAAACAAGAACAGAGACGAGTCCTTTGTCTGAAGCAATCAGAAGGTCATTTGTAATTTTAACTAGAGCTGTCTCAGTGCTATGATGCACTCTAAATCCTGACTGAAATTCCTCAAATAAATTATTATCCTGGAGAAAATCACACAGCTGGTCTGCGACTACTTTCTCAAGGATCTTTGACATAAAGGGAAGATTAGATATTGGTCTATAGTTGGCTAACACCTCTGGATCCAGGGTGGGCTTTTTTAGGAGAGGTTTAATTACAGCTACCTTAAAAGACTGTGGTACATAGCCTGTTAATAGGGATATATTGATCATATCTAATATATGAGTGTTAACTAAAGGAAAGACCTCCTTAAGTAGCCTAGTTGGGATGGGGTCTAAGAGACACGTTGATGATTTAGATGAAGAAATCACTGCGGTCAATTCTTGAAGAGAAATTGGGGAGAAGCAATCTAAATATATATTAGATTCTACAGCTGTGTTTGAGGTTAGATAGGTAGGCCTACCATCTGAGGGCAGGAGGTCATGAATTTTGCCTCTAATAGTTAGAATTTTGTCATTAAAAAAGCTCATAAAATCATTACTGCTAAGGGCTAAAGGAATACAAGGCTCAATAGAGCTTTGACTCTCAGTCAGCCTGGCTACAGTGCTGAAAAGAAACCTGGGGTTGTTCTTGTTTTCTTCTATTAATGCTGAGTAATAGTTTGCTCTGGCATTGCGGAGGCCCCTCTTATAAGTTTTGAGACTGTCTGTCCAGATTAAACGAGATTCTTCCAGTTTGGTTAATCGCCAATTCCTTTCAAATTTTCGCGATATTTGTTTTAACCTACGGGTTTGAGAGTTATACCAAGGAGCAAACTTTCTTTGCTTTGTTAACTTCTTTTTAAGAGGAGCTACAGAGTCGAGCGTTGTTCGCAGCGAGCCTACGGCGCTATCAACAAAATGATCAATTTGGGAGAGGTTAAAGTCGGCACGGGAAACCTCTGTTACTGAAGGTATTGGTATTGAATTTAACGACGAAGTAATCTTTTCCTTAAATTTTGTGACAGCACTATCTGATAAACATCTAGTATAGTAACTGTTGCTGAGTGGCGTGTAATCGAGTAAAAAGAAATCAAAAGTAATCAGATAATGATCTGATAGCAAGGGATTCTGTGGAAAGACTTTTAGGTTATCAATTTCAATTCCATACGTCAGAACTAGATCGAGGGTATGGTTAAAACAGTGAGTGGGTTCATGTACACCCTGACTGAAGCCAATGGAGTCTATTAATGAGATAAACGCGGTAGCCAGGGAGTCATTATCAACGTCGACATGAATGTTAAAATCGCCTACAATAATAACTTTATCTGATTTAAGAACTAAACTGGATAAAAACTCTGAGAATTCAGATACAAATTCAGAATACGGGCCAGGAGCACGGTACACTATAACAAATAAAAGTGGCTGCGAGGTTTTCCAGGTCGGATGTAAAACACTAAGAACGAGGCTTTCAAATGAATTATAATCTAGTTTAGGTTTAGGGCTGATTAACAGACTAGAGTTAAAAATGGCTGCAACTCCCCCTCCTCGGCCGCTGCCTCGAGGAATGTGGGTATTATTATGACTGGGAGGAGTGGACTCATTTAGACTAACATATTCATCTTGACACAGCCAGGTTTCAGTGAGACTGAGTAAATCAATATGATTATCTAATATTAATTTGTTTACTAACACTGCTTTAGACGATAGAGACCTGATATTCCTGTCTTCATTTTTAAGCCGTGCTTGCCAAGCAGCTCTATCAATGGCAATGTTGGTCTGTCGGTTTGCCACTTTTGTCCAGACTGAAATATCTCTATCTAGCTACTGGATGGATTGCCATGAAACATGTACATTAGGCTACTAGTACCAATAGAATGAATCCTACAGAATTTAGGGACCCTAAATCCAAAACTCCAAAATTTAATATATTTTGGTCATTAGCAAATGTTAGGGTGCTAGCATGATAAACCACAATGGCGTACATGGTATATATAATATCACCTAAACATTAGCATGTTATCATACTGATGTTAGCATTTAGCTAAGAGTACCAATGTGTCTGGGTGCAGCCTCACTGACCCATTCTCATTCCCAAGTAGACAAATACTGACACCTTGTCACGCCCCTCTGCATCTGATAGTGATGCACAGGGCACCGTTTAGTGTCTCTCTGGGACACACAGCTGAAACACATTGTGATACGTGGTTAATGTTGTGAAACAGTTGCAATTAGATTTAGGCAATAAAACTACTTGGCTACGTATTATTCAGATAGTGAGATGCATCTACATCAGAGTCCTGCACTGGGTACCCGACAGGTACCCGCAAAAACAGCTGATTTGCGGGTGGTTTTTAAAAAAACATTTTTTCCCAGGTTCAGATCTGGGTGGAAAAAATAACATGCGGGTCAGATCGCGGGTTTTAGATAAACACATCAGTCATTAGTTCGGTAAACTACAGATAACTATCTTGGTCATTATTTACTCTCTGAGGATCGCCTCCGCTATTTCGCAACAGTCAGTAGTTCAGCTGTTTACACGCGTTTCACCATCTAATAACACAATTTGTGATTGGACGACAGAATCAACATGGCTGCCACCGTCTAACAAGCGCCGTTTCAAAACAGTAAATAATTATTTAGGTATTTGAGAAATAAGTGGATAAAACATACAACTATCACTTTATAATGTTTCTGAAGTGTTTCCCTGATGGATTACCTCTCTCCTCGATGGATTCTAAAAACACGTGACGGCTCGTAACTGCTGAACGTCGCTCTGGACAGAAAGTAAGTCTATTATTACACATGTAAAGTTCCTTTACATAGATTAAAAGTTTAAAAGCATTAAACGTAACAAACGGGTGCTTTTACACTTTTATGGGAGAAGAACACAGAGGGTTGATGATGGAGCTGAAGTCAGGTTTTTATTGTGAGAGCTGCTTCATTCAGGTCTTTGTTTACTTACTGGCACCTTAACTGTGGCAATATGCTGTTCAATATTCAGCCAATATGACCCAAAATGATTACTTTAAATCCGGGTTACGGGTCGGGCTGCGGGTCGTGTTTCAACGGGTCGGACCGGTTGCGGTACTAATTGGCCTGATGCGCGGGTTTGCGGTTCGGGTGCGGGTTTGTACGTCACCGGGTCGGGTCAGGGCAGATCTTGAAAACTGGACCCGTGCAGGACTCTGATCTACATAGGCCCTTGTCACACAGGGACACACGGATTGGTTGGGTTTAAATAGGGTCCTTAGTATTGTTGCTTTGTGTCTCAAATAGAGTTGTACCGATACCAGTATCGGAAATGCCTCCGATACTGCCTAAAATACGGCATCAGGCATCTGCGAGTACATCCTATGACCAATCCGATACCACGCACGCTATTGTTTGAACATCGCCATCACGATGTGTGCATGTGCAATAGTCACATTGCAGGACATGCGATGTTTTTTCTTTTTTTAGAACATGTAAACTTTTGTTTTGCTTCAGAAAAGCAGCTCTGAAGCTCCGCTCCGCACGCCTCTCTCTCTCTCTCTCTCTCTCTCTCTCTCTCTCTCTCTCTCTCTGTCGCTCACCTCTCTGAGCACGCAGCAGCCCCTCCCCCTCTCATGCACACGCTGCAGTCACGCACTGAAAATGAGTGACATGCAGGAGGGAGAAATGGTAAAGGAGGATTTATGCCTGGTACACACTACACGACTTTTCTGCCCGTTCTGAAAGTCACTATGTCACATTACACGATTGTGGAGTCATAAAATCGTGCCGTGACTTGGCCGACAGACATGACACACTACACAATGGTCCACACCAATTATCCCCCGGTTGTCTTTCACGACGTGTGTGATGTCATCGGTTTATTCTTGTCCTATTTTTATTTAGTCACTGTGTCTGTTCATGTGCCAGCCGAAATGTTGTAGTAACGTAAAAAGCGTCAGCAGACAGCAGGAGCTACATTTGTAGTACCGTATGTAAACATACAAGCTACTGTATCCTCCACAACCAAGTTCCTACAAATGTTTCACAATAAAAGCCTATTTAGAAAATGGAGGGATTCTCTCAGCCGAGGTTATAAGGGGCTTTTAATTTGAAACAAGTTCAGGAAGTGTTGAGTTTGAAATGACGGCGCCATGCATTAACTTTATCAACGCAACGGGAGCGGATATAAAGTAAAACTATAAAGAGACAGAGGGGTTAATAAATAATGGCCCTTTTATAATGTAGTCTGTTTCAAATGAAGCTGGTAGCCTCTGTAGTTGTGGTGAATAAAAGCCCCACCACTATTTTTAATTTTCTTACTTTAAGTCATCTGGTGAAAATTCTTGTATTTGTTAATACAACCCCTATATTCTACTGTAGCCTTTAAAATGTCTTTTTTACCAAATCGTGTGGCTGCACTTTAACCTGTGTCTTGATCTGTGTCAACACTGGATAATAATAACAAAAAGTTTTATGGCATTAATTCTACTATTATGTATTTATTTCTTAATATTTTACATAGAGTTTTAGGAGTTGAGACATAAAACAATTCATATCCCATCCATTTTTATTTTACGCGCTGGTATCTGATCGGTACTCGGCAGATACCTAAGGTTCAGGGATTGGAATTGGTATCGGGAAGGGAAAAGTGGTATCGGTACATCTCTGGTCTCAAGACTCAAAACTAATTCTGGACTTGAGCTAAGATGACTTGTACTAGACCATGATGTTAAAATTTAAAAATTGTGGTGTGACCCTGATAACCAAGTTAAGGACCTATAGGGGTCCCTTAATCTTGTACTGAATACCTCCACTGTACACTGTTGATATTAATGTGCACTGAGTCACTGGATGTCTGGGAAATTGCTCCCAATCATTTACTTATGATGGATGGGATTAAGAGTGCTTTGTAAACTTTCGAATGTTATTTCTGTCCCAGTTTCCAAAAGAAATCAACTGCATTTAGCCTTTACTAAATCTTAATTTATTGCTTAAAGACTATTATTCTAAAAAAAAATTGAGTGTTTTATTTGGATAACTCTTCTGTAGCTTTATCATCAATGTGTCATTTAGCTCTGCAACTGAAAAGACTCCCTGTTAGAGTAACATTGCAATAAATAGACCAGGGTTGGCTGGAAGTCTGACTAAAGATTTATGACAGCATCAGACACATTAACAAGCCCTGACTGTGAAAGTTTAGCAGGTTGCTCTCCTTAATGCCAGCCCACAAACATTAATGTAGGTATCACAGAGCCTTTTCTGCGCCATAGTAAAGATTTCATCTTCCAGCTCCCTGCTCTGAGAGCGTGAGAAAAAGGGATCCGCTGTACTCTCAGAGGAAAAACAAAAACAGGGCGCAGAGAGGCGGCAGGAGGAGGAGTTGGAGAAAGAGAAAGAAAGGAGAGTCACAAAAAGAAAGGAAGACAGAGAAAGAAGAAGAAATTGTTTTTACTGGGTAGGAGACTAGACTGTGGTGCCTGGAACCCCCGTCGGCTTCATTCTTAGCATAGTCCAGGTTTAGACTGAGGCCCCTGGCAGGCATTGGGATCAGGCAGCCAGGCCAGGGTCAGAATACACGGTGAAGACTTCAAAGGAGGAAAAACATCAGGAGCACTTGATTAATGTGTCCAGCGGGTACAACATCCACATTTGGACAAACCATTTAATCATTCATATCTAGAATAAATTTTCTTCAATAATGATATTATTGGATATCCTCAGGTCTGCAGCAGGCATACTGGGGCTCTACCACTGTAACATGTGTCAGATTGAGATGTCTTTATTGGGATTAATTAGCCAAACACTGAGCTGTAATTATGTCTGTCCTGATGTTCATGCAACACAGCCAGACACCGTCCTGACCAGACTGAGAAAATGAAAAGGGCTGAGTGTATCCACAGACAGGACATAGGGCGGAGGGTGTATGGGTAGAGGATACAAACCTCTTTGGAACATAGGACAGGAAGTTGGAGGAGAAGGTTGAATACACATTAGATTCCAGCAACAGAGAGGGAGAATCTGAGGAGAGATACTTACGCAACTCGAGGACACTGGCCCCAGGTACACCGCTGATAGTCCGGTTTGATGTACGTTTCCACCCCATCCTCCATCACACAGCTCACAGTGCGTGTCACCACGTAAGCACACCAGTTCCTGTGAAAGCACACACAAGCAGGCAAAAGGAAATGACAAATGAATAACTGTATGATGACTGGAAGTTTACTGTAAGTTTAGAGTCGGGCGTTGGCACAAACATAGCAGCCCTCTGACACGCTCAGTACACACTCTGCTGCTGCTCTTTGTTTCCAGGCAAAATAAAGGCAAAGACTTGCAAAAACAATCATCAAAAATCTGGTGACTTGTTTGACTGTGAGGCACTACTGTGAGTTTCCAGATCAATATCTCAAACTGATTATTATTCTGTACAACATTCAAGAGAAATTGTCCGCTGGTGCAAATGTCAGATCAGTTCAGGATAACTGCATGATTTTAACAATGGCTTGCATTGTGTGCCCCCCAACTCCACACTATCAGTGGTTATGTTCATTCCACACAGTGGGAAAATGAAAACATGGAAGCCAAAAGTGGCTATATAGAGTTACTTGCAACAATACGAGTCATTAGTATTTAAGGTAATGTAACTTGTGGTTGTACACTTGAGACTACACCTCCTTTCATGCAGGAGGTTTAACTCTTAAACAGGATTTATACTTCTGCATTGAATCAATGCTACCCTACACCAGAGTCCTGCACCATGTCATGACAAAAGTTGTGTAATGGGTAAAAATATGTATATATAACTTCACAGGTACACGCACAGGTAAAACTGAACTACACCCAGGCAGGCAGCGGGTGAGAACAAAAATATTTTTTTAATTTTCAGAGTAAAACAAATGAAAAAGATAGGCAGTGCATGTGCAATATTTTGACATCTAAATCACTATTATCGAGCCACATTGCCTTTTATTTTGAAAGCCATTGACATTTGACATTTGACCATGTCGTCACATTTCACAGACATTGAGGACTGCAGCCATGAAACTTTGCAGCTCGAGGATGAGGTGGTAGCCTACATAGAGTTCAAGACACCCAAGGAGGATCCTTTTGAGGTTTGATGGTGCTGGAAGGAGCATGCTAAAATGTTTCCTAACCTGGCAGTGATTGAATGTTTTCGCCATCCCGGCATCGAGTGCAGCCGGTCAAAGAGACTTTTGACTTTTGTAATTCAAGAACAAAGAACCCAGCTTAATTTGAGTGACTGTAGCTTGTGTGTGTGTTTGATCACAGGTGCAGGTCGGGTCGCAGGACTTTTATTAATGAGTGTGGGTGGGTGTGGCTTTGACTTCAACATAATGACGGGTAACAAGTTGGTTCTGTTACTGAGCTTTACGAGTATGGGCAGGTGTAGGTTTTCGAAAATGGACATGTGCAGGACTCCCTGCACCCGAAATGTAAGTACACATTGCAGCAGTGCAAACCCCCTGTTTATTTCAAGCTGAAAACCATTTTCCTAAGTGAAAACAAAGCTTTTATTTACTTTTAGTTCAGATAAGAAACAGTAAATTGTGAAGACAATAAAGACCTACAACATAGTATATGAAGTGTTTAGTCTGGCTTCATATGAGTAGCAGAAAAGTCCGCTGGCCACTAGACTCAGTTTTGCAATGGGAAATACCACAGGCTCATGCAAATAATGTAAGCATGTTGTATTTGCGGGGCAAACTTGTCTACTATAAGACTGTTGTTTTGCCAGTGAACCTTGTGAGTTATAATGGTGCTGAATTTTGTAACTTTACCTGTGTTTAATGTTGCAGTTGTTCCTGTCTTCATATGAGTAGAGGAAAACTCTGCTAGATGCTAGGCCAATTTATACAATGAAAAATGTCATAGGTTTAAGTTAATAACATTAGCAAATTAATTTTGTGAGGAAAAATTGTGTCAAGCAAAAGAAAAGACTTTTGTCTGTGAACCTTGTCAGTTATAATGGAGCTCAAAATTTGTACTTGTGTTTGATAATGTTGCTATTAAGCCATGTATAATGTGTTTTAGGTATAGATTTGATAATAACTAGACTCCAGACATGAAGATGGCACCTATTCATTCCAATCAAGTTGCTTGTCTGGTGCATACGCCAAAAAGTTTCCTAGCTTCTGGGTTTACTTGTGTGGCATGAGGGCGACTAAATATGCGCTTTAGGGTTTCTCCCACTGGCCCCACCTGCGAGCTCCTGCTCTGCTCTTAGACATTACACTGTGATGACATCACAGATTTTTAAATCACTTTTCTCAGCTTGAGGAAAGTTTTACAAACATAAAATCACTATGGATCAAAAAGTCATAACAAAAAGACTCATAATTGATCTTGTTTGCAGTTGGAGGTGTGCTGTCAAACAGTTTTACAGAAGTGTTTTTTATAAAGGTGGTCTAAAGTAAAAATGCTTTTTGGGCCGCATGGGATTTTTGTTGCTACAGTTCCACCAGTGGCCACTGGGAAAAATTTGCTGCATGGCTAAGTGGCTTTCCTGGGGCCCTGGTATTAGGTGTGTTTATTTAATCAATTAAATTTTACTGCATTTCACAGAAACTAATCACAGTGGCATAGAAACCCCACTGCCAACTTGTGCTTTAGAGGTACTAATTTAACTGAGTGACCCATACAAACCCCTGCACAAGTAATACTCAACAGTGCCATAGGCCACTGGCATAATTTATTAATCTCATGGCCATATACGTTGATAGTGAAAATGATTGAACAGCTTTTTTGCACATCCACCAGACATGTGCAACATTAGTATACATGTGGAATATTCAGTCTCAATTAAAGGCATAGATATTAGGGGCCACTACACATCAATATTTACAACATATGCACGCACCCCATTAAAACTTATAATGACTTTTATTTATTTATTTATTTATTTTTTAAATTAAGACATATCCACCATAAATTGATGCAGAAAAAGCACAACTTGGTGCATAAAATTCACCAAAATGCAGGAAAAGAAGTGACTGACGCTTCAAATGTTGAAACAAAACCTACACCCTTTCTCTTACTTATGCACTTTGTCACTCTCCACCAACTTCTAAAGGAAATATCTAGTTTATACAAGCCCCCAGGAACAGCACTGGAAGAACTTCCAGGTCCATCATGTGATGCCATTGGGCCCAAAAAGACTTTACCCCATAGACTAAAACTGTGAAAGAAAGATACGTCTGTAAATCAGCTTTTTTTTTCTCTCTCTCTCTCTCTCTTTTTTTTAAGGTACTAACACTAACCCCAATCCTAATCCTAACCCATCCATATGTTTGTCGCTGGTAGCAATATGATGGCTTTGTATTTTGTGTGATTGTATGGTACTAAATAAAAACATTTGATCGCAAAAAGAAAATGTTTGTCGCTGGTAAAAGCTCAACTACAGTACAGGCCAAAAGTTTGGACACACCTTCTCATTCAATGCGTTTTCTTTATTTTCATGACTATTTACATTGTAGATTCTCACTGAAGGCATCAAAACTATGAATGAACACATGTGGAGTTATGTACTTAACAAAAAAAGGTGAAATAACTGAAAACATGTTTTATATTCTAGTTTCTTCAAAATAGCCACCCTTTGCTCTGATTACTGCTTTGCACACTCTTGGCATTCTCTCCATGAGCTTCAAGAGGTAGTCACCTGAAATGGTTTTCCAACAGTCTTGAAGGAGTTCCCAGAGGTGTTTAGCACTTGTTGGCCCCTTTGTCTTCACTCTGCGGTCCAGCTCACCCCAAACCATCTCGATTGGGTTCAGGTCCGGTGACTGTGGAGGCCAGGTCATCTGCCGCAGCACTCCATCACTCTCCTTCTTGGTCAAATAGCCCTTACACAGCCTGGAGGTGTGTTTGGGGTCATTGTCCTGTTGAAAAATAAATGATCGTCCAACTAAACGCAAACCAGATGGGATGGCATGTCGCTGCAGGATGCTGTGGTAGCCATGCTGGTTCAGTGTGCCTTCAATTTTGAATAAATCCCCAACAGTGTCACCAGCAAAACACCCCCACACCATCACACCTCCTCCTCCATGCTTCACAGTGGGAACCAGGCATGTGGAATCCATCCGTTCACCTTTTCTGCGTCTCACAAAGACACGGCGGTTGGAACCAAAGATCTCAAATTTGGACTCATCAGACCAAAGCACAGATTTCCACTGGTCTAATGTCCATTCCTTGTGTTTCTTGGCCCAAACAAATCTCTTCTGCTTGTTGCCTCTCCTTAGCAGTGGTTTCCTAGCAGCTATTTGACCATGAAGGCCTGATTCGCGCAGTCTCCTCTTAACAGTTGTTCTAGAGATGGGTCTGCTGCAACTCTGTGTGGCATTCATCTGGTCTCTGATCTGAGCTGCTGTTAACTTGCGATTTCTGAGGCTGGTGACTCAGATGAACTTATCCTCAGAAGCAGAGGTGACTCTTGGTCTTCCTTTCCTGGGTCGGTCCTCATGTGTGCCAGTTTCGTTGTAGCGCTTGATGGTTTTTGCGACTCCACTTGGGGACACATTTAAAGTTTTTGCAATTTTCCGGACTGACTGACCTTCATTTCTTAAAGTAATGATGGCCACTCGTTTTTCTTTAGTTAGCTGATTGGTTCTTGCCATAATATGAATTTTAACAGTTGTCCAATAGGGCTGTCGGCTGTGTATTAACCTGACTTCTGCACAACACAACTGATGGTCCCAACCCCATTTATAAAGCAAGAAATTCCACTAATTAACCCTGATAAGGCACACCTGTGAAGTGGAAACCATTTCAGGTGACTACCTCTTGAAGCTCATGGAGAGAATGCCAAGAGTGTGCAAAGCAGTAATCAGAGCAAAGGGTGGCTATTTTGAAGAAACTAGAATATAAAACATGTTTTCAGTTATTTCACCTTTTTTTGTTAAGTACATAACTCCACATGTGTTCATTCATAGTTTTGATGCCTTCAGTGAGAATCTACAATGTAAATAGTCATGAAAATAAAGAAAACGCATTGAATGAGAAGGTGTGTCCAAACTTTTGGCCTGTACTGTATGTCCACTAGCTAGCGGCTAAATGTGTATGTCCGCCAGTGTAGAGTGGGTTTTCATAGAAAAACAGCTGCTTGTTGCGCCTGTGATAGCATTCGTCCGCCAATACAAGCA